GGGTTTGATGAATACTGTTCTAAAATAAATTGTTTAATTTGTTTTTGAAATATCATTGTAATTTAGTGATTTTAATGTCTGAGGTGCTTATTATGAAGTATAAGTAAAAATAAGGTTTTGTGAAGAGGCATTGCGAGTGTCTCATTAAGCCCTATGTCTCTTGAATGAAAATAATTTCGAGAGATTGGTTTGTTCTTTAGAAACGAGAGAATCCAAGTAAGCAAAAGCTTATGAGTGGACGTTAATGGGTGTAATCCCTATAGCTTTCAGACCTTCAACCATCTCAAGTCTCTCAAAGGACCGCTTATAAAGTCATATTTTCCTAAAATTCCCAAAAAAGGATATTGTATCTAAAAATGAATTGTAAACTATACAGGGTATTCCTTAATGATATACGAATATTTAAGGGTGTGAATCTAAATGAAAAATTAATGTTAGTTTGCTTTATAAACTATGGTCCAAAAATGTTTCCTTACAAAAACCAGGGGTGTTGAGGTTTTAGGGAAAAAATGGAAATTTATTAATATTTTCAGAACCGCTTCAGATATTTCACTGATATTTAGTACGTAGTGAGAGTTAACAAAGTTGCATATTTTTCAATGCAAGAATAATTTTTAGCTTTAACATTGGCGTGCGTACGGGTACTGACTTCGATATTTTTTAAGAAAAAATGGTACGCCAATGTTTTTTTGCCAAATCTAAATTATTTTTAATACCCCGTTCAATTTGAAACAAATGATTTCTCTTAAATTGTTTTCTTTCGATGCGCCATTTTTGAGTAAAAAAATAAAAACCGTTCTATTGTCTAACTTGCAAAATTATTATTAATTTAATTGGAAAAATTAAACACATTAGGGGTAATGAACAACAACAACTGACAATATAAACGTAACATTAAAACCAACGAAACGATTACAAATATTGTTTAAAATGGCCTCCTTCACTTAGTATGCATGCTTCCACCCTCCTTCTCATGGAATTGCGCACTCGTTGAAATGTCCCTGGAGCGTTTTTTATTCTATCACAAGCTGCAACTATTCTTTCTCTTAATTCCTCTATAGTGTTAACGGGACTTGTGTACACTAGTGTCTTAAGCCCCACAAAAAGAAATCTAAGCTGTTGAGGTCTCGGGACCTTGGAGGCCATTCTTAGGACCCCGCCGCGGCCAATTCAACGATTTGGATGAATAGTTTGTAAATAATTACGAACCGATACACTGAAATGCGCTGATACACCATCAGGCATGTACCACATATTGTTTCTTATCACTAACGGAACATCATCAAGCAGCAAAGGCAACTGTTGTTGAAGAAAATTGAGGTAAGTTTGTCCGTCAAGTCGTCCCCGCAAGAAGAATGGACCAATAAAGTGGTTGCCAATAATTCCTGCCCATACGTTAACCGAAAATTGGTGTTGGAAATGGTTTTCGGTTACGGCATAGGGATTTTCTTCTGCCCACAAATGATTATTCTGGAAACTCTGAATGGCATTTCGAGAAAAATTAGCTTCGTCCGTGAACAGAATCATTGATTAAAATTGCGGATTTTGTGTAATTTTTTGAAGATACCACTGACAAAGGTCACACGCCTTGGAAAATCAATAGGAAGTAATGCCTGTACCTTTAAAATATGGTAAAGATATAACAAAAAATCCACTAAAATTCTCCAAACAATTTGATGGCAACTGCTTCCTCAATTTCAGGTGTTCTTACACTTAGAGGTCCACCTTCAGATGTTCCTTTCCGGACAGAACCAGTTTCAATAAGACGACGATGAATATTAGAAAAGGTTCGACTATCTAGCAAAGCACCATCGGGATCTCTCTGGTGATAAATCCGTCTGGCTTGCTGACCATTACCCTCGGCAAGGCCATATACGTAATGCATTTTCGCCATTTCTGCGTTTGAATAATTCACCATTATTAACAAGATTGTAAAAGCTAAATAATGAAAAAGACGTCACAGCGAACAGATTTGAATAACAGAGACTTGTCAGATGTCAAAAGCCAGTGACATATTTCAGAGCATCTAGATATTTATTGCTAAATTGCATTATTCAATTATTACATTAATTTTCTCGGACAATAGAACGGTTTTTATTTTTTTACTCAAAAATGGCGCATCAAAGGAAAACAATTCAAGAGAGATCATTTATTTTGAATTGAACGGGGAATTAAAAAATAATTTTTATTTGGCAAAAAACCATTGGCGTACCATGTTTTTCTTAAAAAATGTCGAAGTCAATACCCGTACGCACGCCACTGTTAAAGCTAAACATTATTTTTGTATTGAAAAATTTGCAACTTTATTACCTTTCACTACGTACTAAATATCAGTGAAATATATGAAGCGGTTCTGAAAATATTAATTAATCTCCATTTTTTTCCTAAAACTTCAACACCCCGAGTTTTTGTAAGGAAATATTTTTGGACCATAGTTTATAAAGCAAACTAACATTAATTTGTCATGTAGATTCAAGCCCTTAAATATTCGCATATCATTAAGGAACACCCTGTATAATAGTAATTTTGGACCTTTATACCAGAGCCGGTCTACTTGAATCCATTTTTCACCTTGCAAAAATATATCCAACGCTGTACGCGATTGTGGTTGACTCGTGTCTCGCATATATCGGTTAGTAGTACTCGATGTAGGTATTTTGTACAACCTTGACCAAGATGCAAGTATACACAATCTCAATGAAAGCAGAATTTTATCAGCGAATGTAGATAAAGGGGTCATTTCTCTAGGAATGCCAATGTTCTGGGTATTTTCAGGATTCATATGGAAAATAGAAAAAATGCGTATTTAAAGTTTTGTTCTATCAAGTGTTCAACTGGTTTTCAATTAATAATGATTAATAATGATTTATTTCCATTCTTAGCATTAGAAATAATCTAATAAAATCTAAGGGAAATACGCGTTTACATGCTTGCTTATTGTAAGCAGATCGATGTCAAAAATAAAAAAAAATGTGCTACAGACCGAACAAGGCGTGACTTATTTAGGTTATTGGAAATGCCAATAATACATAGACGCGGACTTGATATACCTTGTATTCAGCGTTAGAAGCAACAGCGAAAAAGTAAAAAAAAAATAAATGAAAGAGTACTCACCGGTCTTTGAAAAGAAATTTCAAGTACAACTCTGTTATTTGAAAGTATTGTTCAAAGTTGTCTGTGATAGATTCAAAGATTCGACGTTGCCAAGCATCAGGGTATGCTTTTAGAATGGACGGCCTTTCCCGAATTTATGCATCAGATTGCTAAATTAGCACACGTATTTCATCAACCGTGTCCACAGCTCAGTTAAATAGAATAAACATTTCATTTCACCCCAAACAAAAAAAATATAAAGGATCTTAAAAAACGATCTGCATGCACTCGCGAAGCCTCGGTAGCATTTCGAAGTCGCTCACCGCAAATTAAGATAATATAGACAACTCCTATATTACCAGTGTGCCATTTTTGTTTTGATTTTTAAGAACCGATGGGTAAAGGTTTTGTTTACCAAAACGCTGCCAGCGCCTGAACTGAGTACTGATGCACGTCGCACGTGTTCACGTTTGATCTGATCAAGGCGCAGGACCGGATTAGGTTTTGTTTGGGTCTGATTTATTTTGCGGAGCCGGCATAATCTTACGACTTTGGTGTGTATACTACAAGAAAAAAATGCTAATTTTTCCAGGATCTGTACTTCATGTAAAGGAAAGGCCCAACTTTGAGGAGGCCCAGTATTGCTCACTTCTGTCAGGGCCTCTCATCCTTGTATCTCCGTAGCCACTAATATTAACAAAGCTGATGCCTTTGAAGCATCTAAATAGGCAGTCCATCATTGTTAATATTTATTACCTTATCATAGGCGGAGTAGTCGATAACAAATGTTTCCTCCAACTTTCTTTTGATTTTCTTGTTGTTTTTTGTTCTCTCCTGATTGGCATATTCGCTTTTTTAGCCATGTAGCAGTTTCACTAATAGTTCGGATTGTCCACAAAAAAAAAACACAACAGCACAACTATGAGCAATTTGAGCCAACACTCTAAATGTTATAATGTTTTCTGAAAAGGTTGCTGGTTCTGATCACCCTTTGAAAAAAAAGCATTTTCGAATATTGCATTATGTTTTTAATTTAGTTTATAAAAGAACGAGCCCTAATACGGTTGGTACATGGAAACGCTTTTGTTCTTTGATATTCAAGTCAAATGCTTATATAGTGTTTAGCTGTTTCAGCGATGTCTCTTGGCACTGTTAACTTCAAGACCTAGATTAGATACTGATGGCAGAAGACCATCAGAAAAATGTTAATAGTCTAGGTAATTCCTAGCCAGTGATTTTATGAATCAACCCACTTGTGTTTTTCTGAAGTGCTTTAATCGTAAGTCACGAAATAATACCTAACTGGATGACTGGAAATAGTCCTCAAAAGGAATTTCCTATTAAATTCTTTAGTGATTTACTCATAAATTAATCATTTTATAGATGGATTCACTTGTATTGATTTTTAATCATACACAAAGAAAACAATAACAAGTAAATATTAATTGACACGATAAACAACAAATAAACCACTACCATCCATATTTATGAGTCTGTTTTTTCAATTATTGCTTATTACATGAAAAATGGTAATAACCTAGAACATAAAAAGAAAAAATCAATTTATCACAATTTGTGGTTTAGTTTTCTTAGTTAATAACGAACTTCAATCAAACAATAAGGAACACTTCCCTTGTGATGTCAGTGGAATGGAAAACAATAATGTTTGTCTTGTACTGCAAGAAACGTAAAAGCCCTTTTACGCCATAATAGGAGATTAACCTGCCTTCAATGTCTCGGTTACCAAATAATCAGTTCTCTTGAACATATCAAAAACAATTCAGTTTCCACACTTTCATATTTAGGTAAGGCATTGGTTGTAATATTTTTTATAACAAAATGACTTTTTATATCACTTTAAAGAGAATATATTTGATTTTGCAGATTATACATACAAAGAATCCAAAATGCCGAGCGTATTACATGACGTTTCAACTCCTTTCCGAAAAGCAACATTTGGAATGGGCTGCTTCTGGGCCGGCGACGCGTTATTTGGAGCCCAACCCGGGGTTTTGAGGACTCGTGTGGGTTACTCCGGAGGTACTACTATAGACCCAGTCTATAAGAAAATGTAAGTTAGTTCAAATTTTTTTAATCAGCGGTAATATGTTACATGTTACCACTCACATTTATTTAAGAACAGATTTAGCACTATAAGGGATTTTGAGAAATCGCTGTAGAAAACGAGAGTTTGGATTTGTTGTGAAAGTGATGAACTTTTCAATCACACTGTTACTACGAAAAATGTCTCTACTCGTAGTAGTTAGATGTACAGCAATAAAAATATCTCCACGTTTAAACAGTAGACAATTCGTACACTGTCTGATATGGTAAACGAATGAAAGTAATATTACAGGCAATTGGAAAAAGAAAAGTTACAGAACTCCGACAAAACTGATTCTTCGAGTCAACAAAATAATGATAAATCTGGTACCAGTAATCAGAAAGACGTTGATTTCAGGTACGACTTTGGAATTTTCAAAATCAGGTGGCAAGCTTAATTGCATAATACTTTTTGGAATGTACAGTGGTGGTTAAAAATTTAAGCAAAAAACGGATTGAACAGAGAGTTAGAAAATAGATTTTAAAGTCAAGAATATCGAAAAACGAGATATACATTTTGTATACTGTATTTTGACGTGTACAGTAATTTGTAAATCTGGACTCGCTTATAGCGCCAAAAGTGAAGCTCTGGGTGCCATTGTTCCAACCTAAGCCTCTAAATGTTTTATTTCATTATTTTCCGAATAAATATCGTGAACTCTACTTTGATCATAAAAATTCCGTTACTTTCTCAATTAGTTTTCCAGTTTTAATTTTTTAACAGCCACTGTAATCTGGTAATGGTAAATGAAAGCTATTGTAGCAAATAATATAGCTCAAAAATCGAATCATTTTTATCGTATTATTTCATTATGGGCAAGGTCTTTCATTCTTCTTTGTCTTCAATCATCAGCAAACACATTGAAGCAATTTACTTTCAGCTCACTTTTTCAAATTAATGTCTTGTTTACGTCTCAATGCGCATTTTTTATGTTTATTTATGCCGGAGGAAAATTCAACGAAAACTCACGCACAAATGGTTTTCAATTTATAGTTGTATTCTTGGTATAGTGCGTGAAACTTTTATGTAATTATGATTGTAAACGAAATATTTATTAGATGTAATGTTAATTATTGCGATATAATTTGACTATTTTAAAATACATACTTTGTCTACATTGACTATCATGGACGCGAACTTTCGATTTATTGATACAGTGCTTCCACTAGTTTTCAAGTGGAACACCAGGTAATTGAATCTTTTGAATAATAATTCACTTTGAAGTTAAAGTTTAAGAACATATTTTCCACATGCGTTGCATTATATTTCTGCTTGCCATCATTTCTATTTTTCTTCTATTCTCATTTGTTCTTATAGTACCTACATCTCCGTTCTCTTTTACTTTTTACTATTAAACTACTACATCACATAAATATTTTAAAATTCATTTTTTACTTGTGCTTTCCCTGTAGCTTGTTTGTTTCTTTTGGTGTTATTTTGTCCCATTCAACGTTTCAGCTTTTGTAGGTCACTCTCGCTGGATCTATGGCTTAGAAAAGCTTAAAACTGGCAAAACCTCTATATATCCTAATCAGAAATTATATAAAACTTTCATATTTTTCTAGGGGAGATCACACTGAGGTAGTAGAAATAGACTTTGATCCAAAGGTGATAAGTTATGACGACCTACTAGAACTATTTTGGAATAACCACGAATATGGATTGACAACTATTATCAAAAGACAGGTACTACGTTCACAGTAAAAATAAATGAGTTTCACGTTATTTGATTGTTGTTGCATGTTTCAAAGTATGGAGAAACATTTTTGTAGAAGCACAAGCATGTAGGTTGTTTCAATTCCGACGTTCACCGTTTGGTTCTCTGAAACGATTAGAGATGCGTAATTGGTTAAATTTGGATAAAATCGTACATTTAGGTAAATAAGAAAAATGCATTTACAACGTTTGGAAATATCGGTAATTTCAAAATAACGTACAAGTCAAGTGACACCTTCTGACCTCTACAAACCCGCATAATTGGAATTTCAATCTGACGCGATTTTTTTGTCTCAAAGTCAGGTAAAAGTAAAGATGATTTTTTCCGTTTTCTCTATAGGAAGTACACAGAATTTCTGTCTCACATAACCGACATCGTATTTCCTACCATTTTCAGGATCTTAATGGTGGGTGTTAATTTTACACCTCTATCAATACAGCATATTTCTCAACGTATGGAAGTTGGCTCAGACGATGAAACACTTCAAAAAGAAGTCTGGATTTGTTGTGCAAAACAGACATCCTTATTGGGGTGCAGAAGAGAAAGGAATCATAATTACCTTGAAGATTTTACATCACTATGAAAATATGACAAGGCTATTAAATATCCAAACACCCCGCAAAAGATACTAAATATGATGGACGCGAATTAATGTAGAATATTATAGCAAACTGTGTCAAGGCTCTGGAGTCTAGTTAAATGCTCAACATTAAATAATGTCAAGTGGGAGCCACAATAGCTCTTTATGTATAGGCCGCAGTGAAGATTTTCAGTAAACGGTCGAGATACAATTTAGAGAGAGACAACAATTTACCCAAAATTTGAGAATTGAACGATCGTTGATGATTGATTAATGTATGAAAAGTTAAAGAATCAGTAATAAAAGCATCGGGATATTATTGTATTTTTTCTGAGATCAGCAAAAGAATACAGAAACATAAATATCTTCATATTTTATTTCAGTACATGTCCCTGATTTTATATCACAATGAGGATCAAAAAAGGATCGCAGAAATTTCCATGAAGAAACTAGCCCATAAAAGGAACGAGAAATTAATTACAGAAATTGCACCGGCTGGTCCCTTCTACCCTGCCGAAGAGTAAGTTTTTATGTAATTTTTCACTCAAGAAAAATATAATTTGGTTTGTTCTGGTATTACTTATTTTTGATAGCAATTCCTATTCATCGATTACAAACAAAAATAAAACAATATTGCTATTACTAAAAGTTCCCATGATGTCACTCGCTATATATTTTATCAAATTCAGAGTATTACTAGTATTACGCGGTTACAAGTAAAAACAAAATCGTTTGGAACTTGACTAGAGGGATGCAACATACCTCTAATTCCAAAAAGGCTTTTTAGCTGTATTATACTATTTTATGAATATTTCTTCAAGAAAATCATATTATCCTACACCCAGAAAGCACTCACATTACCAGGTAAGTTACAGTAAATAGAAAACACATGTGAATCACCACACTGAAATAATAAGTTTTTGAACTCAAGACTTTTAGATTAGGTAAACATACAAAACCAATTCAAGACATCATTCGAGGCATTATGATTATTCGGAAGCAACTAAAGTGCTACTGTAATGTTATTCAGAATGATACCTTCAACTACTTAGATACTTTTTTCTATAATCGCGTCTATGCATCTTTGCATGTCTATTCCATCTAGGTACTTTGCAATAACGTCAACAAATGGATGATACATTTTAATACTTAGATTTCATGCACATTGCAAATAGACGTTACACAATACGCATTAGATTTGTCACTGCAAACCATTAAACCGATTCAGGTCCGAAAAAAAAAGTGGGCACCACTCTTGTACCGACATATTGTTAGCTTTTTCTTTCTTCCTTTTTCACCATGTCTACGCAAACCGAAATTTGACGGAAGTCCTTTCACATTCGACACATCCCGAAAGTAGCAAAAAACGAAACGAGCTCTTATCTTTCTCTGCCCGTACGCCGTGTAGGCATATCGGTAACCTCCTGTACACTTTTTTGTACCTTCCGAACGTAAACAATAAAATTGCAGGTTCCGATTTGAAATAAGGTATTTTATATTTGACAAATATCCTACCAATTATCATATGCACATGCAGAAAATTTTTCTACGGGCGCATAGAGAATATTTACGGTTCTGTCACCGAAAAAATGTACGGTTCTGTCCCCGAACAAATGAATGTTCTCATATTAATTAAATGTTACATTGAATGTTAAATAGACTTACCTTTCACGCGAAAGACAGCCCCAAAATATACCAAACACATGTTTTTTACTGCGCGACCTATTCTTTTAAATTGTTTGAATGTGAGTGACAGAAATCTGCAGAAATCCTAACAGACACAACGTACCTGACTTTTGAGGGGCTGTCGCCCCTAGTTGTACTACGAATACATATATGTCATAAATTCAGATTATGTAACAATCAGGAAAGTATGTTTTGTGGTCGAAATATCAAATCCACGCAAAATTACATACATTCGGTAGAACATGGATATCAAAAATGTTCAAGGTAAAAGCCGCAGATTAAGTCTGCAAAATGTATGTTTTTATGTGTTATTATTAACACAAAACAATCAGGCGCAATTTCATGGATCTATATACAGATATAATAACATTTAAAGCTTCTTTATCTTATTCGTTCAAACACAGACCGACTAGCACTATCGCAGATACTAACTCTAATTCTACATACGCTGCATGATAGTGACAAAAAAATCATTTTCATTCTAAGACGGTTTGATTTATGTTTGTGAAGCAATAGTACAATTTTCCAGTCAAACAGATAACTGATGTTTTTATTACAGCTACCATCAGAAATACCGGTTGCAAGAGCACTCCTGGCTCTGCGAGGAACTAGGCCTAACTCCAGCCCTGTTACAAACTTCACACGTGGCAACTCGATTGAATGGTTATATAGTGGGTGTTGGAAAACAACAGGACTTCGAAAAAGACGTTGTTACGCTAGGACTCTCTGAAAAAGTGGCCAAATATGTCAGATCTCACTTGTTGGAAAACGAGGGCGGGAATCTCTACTGCTAAGCGACTTCTAAAAGATTGCTGTATTTGTCAGCTCACTGTCTCAGTATTCTAGGAATAAATTGTATACGTAAAATCTCACACCAAGTTTGCAAATGGTCACCACGAAGCACTGAAAATTATAGAACTTTTATTTGACCAAACTATAAAGAAACTGTTTTGATCCAAAATTAATAGAAGGATTTTGGTGACAGACCTTTCAAAAAAATTACCACTTTTGGACGCCAAGCAAGAAAGCATTACAATACGCAATAGTAATTTTAAACACAGGCAAAATAAATCGGCACATGATCTGAAATGATTATTAATATTTGTTTCGTCTCAACTTGGTCTGAGAGTAGATTTACTCGTCGATGTTATATTTTTGTATAGAAAATAATTTTCATAGTGATAAAATGAGCACTTTTGGACCAGCTTAAATATAATAAGTGTACTGGTTCTGGGGATGTAATGCAAGGGGGTATATTGAATAAACTTTGTTCATTTTGACCCTAGTTTCAATTACACTTCCTGTACCAATACCTTCCCAAAAACCTTGAATAAAATCTGATGCTCCGTTTTAGCGTATCTACGAAATCTACTTCAGCTCTTAAAATACTTCCTTACAAAGCGTCCAGTAAGTAATAAGCATTAACGTTCAGAAATAGATAACAACGTCAATGAACAGGCAGATATACAAAATTTCAAAGCAAATGGTTTAAATTTTGGAGAAAGCGAATTCAAGGGTTGAAATATCCCTCCGTCCTAGCCCATAATGAATGACTGAATCTTGAAATTAGAGGCATTCCGGCCACCATCAGCGGGCCCTTATGCACGTCTATATTCCGTAGATCACAAGCCTCGCCCTTTTAGCGAAGTTGAGAATCGCCTTGAGTCCAAGCTCCTTGGCCTCCTGAGGGTGCAAAGTAATGGACCACAGTATAGTCTGCCTATAGTAGCTCAGAGCTTCACAGCGACACAAAACGTGCGCCGAGGTCTCTTCCTCTACCCCGCAGCGTTCACACAAGGGATCCTCAGCCACCCCCATCACGTGCAGGTGGCGCCTTAACATGTTATGGCCAGACAACAGTCCCACCAGTAACCTTAGGTTGGCTCTATCCAGAGATAAGCAGAAACGTTCATCCTTAGCACTGGGTTCTTCTATGCGCGGTCACTCCTAGAGCTGGCTCAGGACCAACGAGCTTGCTGGCTGATCCTGTCTTCGCCAGAGTGTCCGCCGTCTCATTGCCCCTTATCCCAGCGTGCTCCGGTACCCACATTAACGATACCGGATGCCTCGCTGCGAGGCAATCCAGAGCATCCCTGGATTGCAACACAAGACTCGAAGTAATCTTACAGGCACTTAGGCCCGTATCGTCAATCGTCCCTACAATTGTAGGGCACCTTTATGGCCTCCTTGATTGTCATAGTGTTCTACTTCTCCCTGTCAGCGCTCTATTTTGAGGTTGTCACAAACATCTATTTGCATCAAATTGTGCTTGCTTTTGAGTTATATCATGTTTTATCAGCCTGAAATTTCCTAGAATTTAAAAAAAACATATCCTCACAATAGGAGAGCGCTGACGCTGACACGGGACAAGTGTAATCTAGAAATTTTTGAAGGAGAGAAAGGAGTATGACAATCAAGGAGGCCATAAACGCGCCCTACAATTGTAGGGACGACTGACGATATGGGCCTTAGTGCTTTCATTGCAGCCTTGCTGTCGGATAAGATTGTTATTCTTCTCCTAGGTCCACCCTCCTCCAGAATGTGAGATACACAAGCCAGAATCGCAAAGATTTCCGCCTGGAAAATAGTGGTGTATCCACCGAGACGCAGAGATAGCCTAGTTCTAGGCCCAGAGACCCCAGCACCTGAGCCCTCTTCGGTGACCGAGCCGTCCGTGTACCAGACCTGCAGGCTCACTCCGGAGAGTCTCCGGCTACCGGCGTTCCACTCCTCCCTCGTTGGATACTCCACAATAAACTTGCGGTTGAAGCGATATTTGGGAGTAATATGATCACCCCTGCTTAGAAGGACGGGGTACTCCCTTTGCAATTCGACTAAGATGGCAGTACGCCCTAGCCCATAAAGTTAAAAGGTTGAATATCAGGACAAACGCTGTTTATGACACTTTTGATCGATTTGGGGGATACTGTGAAGGCATGTTCTCAAAAATCATTGTATGTTTTCAATCTCCATCACAGCAAGCTTCTTGGGCAAACCTGATGCGTCGATAACGAATCGGGTCTCAATTTTTCTCTGAGATCTCCAGATGTCTCATTTTCCTACTCCAAATGTGGTTTCGCGACACCCTATATAACTTTATATTCATATTCTAACTTATCGTCATGTTCTGTCAAACCCAAGAAGGAGGTCTGTTCGAACATTTTCATTTTGGTTAGAATTATTTATTTCAATTATGATGCGACTTAGCGTTTTAATCTATTTTAGAAGTATCTTTGATTTCGACTGATGCTGATAAAATCAACACATTTTGAGTTATTGTTAACAAATACCAATACGCAATACAAATTATCACTGTCTGTGTGTACGCAGGTGAAAACCGTTTCGAAGCAGGACGACACTCGCCAATGAGCGCTCATGGAGATGGAAACCTTGCCTTGGAATGTACGAGATGCGGTGTTGCCAAGCGAACCAATTATGCAATGTTGTAAAATTTGTGGCCATCCTGACCTTTCATTTTGACCTAAAATGAAGCGCCGTTAGGACCGATCCAGAATCGATCCTAAACAGATTCGACACAAGTCACAATTGGCAACGCGCAAAGTGGCGCGTCAGTGTTGCTAGGCAACGCGGTGATCAGCTTCGCTATACAGCCGGGTTCTAACACTCTCTAACGTATTCACACACTTCCTTCTCTACGGGAAGTCTCAAAAGTCTCATATTCCTACCCTGAATCTGGATTATGGACGAAGCCATTTTCCGATGGTCATATTAGGAATCGGTGTTCCAAATTACTAATGTATACCAAGTTTCTTCCACTTACAGCAACAGTAAACGAAAATTAAAATTTTTCGCAGAGAACTCCGAAAGTCTAATGGGATGCTCTCGAGAAAAAAATCTGATGTATTTGCATTTTCGATCAAAGCCAGCTTCTTCGGTGAATCTCATGCTTATCTGCAAATCTCACATCTGTTTCTCGCTTAGATCTACGGTAGGTCTTGATAGTATCTTTTTCTAATACCTCTACGTAAGCAATGCGTGGACAATGCATACACTGCGTATACAATGAATATAATACGTATACAATGTATGCAATACGTATACAATGGATACAATTGTGTAGACAAAACATGTATAGGACAGTGTTGTCGAAGCGAAAAGTCTAAATCGGTAGACAGTGTCGTTGAAATTGGGTAGATTCATGGACAAAATCGGTAAGAAGAAAACATCAGTGCCGTCGTAAGATCAGCTATGGATCAAGGGGCCTTGCGTCACGTAGCTCCCTCAACGAAAATAAATATATTTTTGTATCGCGCACACACACAACACAGGTTTTTCGAGGGCATCTATCCTTGTAAAAACATTAAGTTTTTTATAACAACTTGTATAATTAGCATACTGGTCACTCTTCAAACTACTTTGCAACCATCATTAAAACTGTTTAAAATATTCTGAATATTTTTCTGTTTACCCCTGAAGCCTCTCCACCTGACATTTTAACTTGATATCAAATTAAATACAGGTACGAGCTTCGGTTTTCTTGGTTTTTGTCTGGTGATGCGGTAATGACGGAAATCTACCAGTATGTACCTGTTGTACTCACAAAAAGCAATATAGCGATAGCGGAATAAGAGATGTGCCTTCATAATTCTAGGCAATCCAAATCTACTTTCCTCCTGTGCCCAACTGTCTAAGTGTACGCTTGTGCCTGGTTGGTCTGATGCATAAAACAATATAGACTACTTAGAATTCACTTTTTAGCTTCATTTTTGGTTCCAGCACTTTTTCGGTAAAAAATCGAGAAATATCTGGATTATTTTAAAAAATCGTGGGAAATAATGAGGTTTTTGGTACTTCGGTAGAGATACCGAAAACTAGGTAGACTCGGCAACACTGGTATAGAATAACATAAGTGAGGTTAGGTTTAGTCGCAAGTTAATGTTTGTCGTATCTTAATATGTGGCTGTCGGTGCGCTACTTTACCATTATCTACTTACCTAACAGAACCACATATCAGATCAGAAAGTGAAGTTTAGAATGAGTAGGAAGAAAGCATATGTATTAGTCATTACGTATGACCGGTAACATCCTTGCCAATCAAAATATTGATCATGCTGACGGCACTGAATGAAATCAGTCAAAAGGGTGAATTGTTTTATGTTATAAACGTTCCTAATTCATTCAAAACTATAACTTTTTATATAGAAATCATAAATATAATATTTAATTGGTTGACTTTGTACCATAGTCGCAAATTTTGCGCCAAGGATAAGTAAAATCGGACCTTAATGTACAGAAATGCACATATGCACTAAAATGAAATAAAACGCCATTGAAAACAATATAAATCTATTTTTGTATATACTACATATTGTATTTAAAATCTTACGAAAATTATCTTACAAATTATCTATATATAATATAAAGCTAGAAAAAATCCAACAAAGTCAGTTTGAGAAATGCCTAATTCATGGCACTAGATACTTTTGCCTAATAAATAATCTTAACTAATGGACAGAAGATGATCGCTTAAAATTGTTCTGCAACAGTATAAAATACAATAATAAAGTTCAGTCACTGTGTATCCAGTTTAAATAGACGCGAATGACGTTAGCTTCACTTTTTTGTCTTGGTATAGAAAACACTTTAAAGTAAAGCCAAGGAATACATTCTTTGTAATATGAGAGACTATTTACATTTGCAACAAAAGTTTTCATACCATGTAGATTTGATGATGCTGTCTGTATCTCGATATAATAGAAGGAAGAGAAATTCTTACTGCAGTTAGAATAGTTGAATATACTTCCAAAATACTAAATTTCGAAACTTTCTAGATTATACTATTTTTACCTCCTTTGTTACGTAATCTGGTAATGCAGAATATTGAAAGTACTATGAATGTAGATTGTATTGACTTTAAATCATCTCACACTATGAAAACATTTGTTTAGGGACACAAATAACCATACATTTTATTTCCCGATACGAGAGTGATTTCACATTGTTTGTTGCCTGATTCAAATAACACTATTATGTATTTCATAGCTCACTAAAATGAAGCAGTTTTGAAGGAAATGATATAAAAATCGGAACATTATTTCATGAGTCCAAGTACCATACTGCATAAGCCTGACTTCTCAGTTTGAAATCCTAAATACACAGCAAGAACGATTTGTCCAGGAGGACAATGCTTGAAAACAAGACAGTAGAAAGTATTGCATGCATTTCTGGTAGCATTTTCGGCAAAATATGCTCCTGGGTTTTCATATCGTTAAATGAGTCATCATAAAGTTTGAGATGAGACTGATGGATGACTTCTGCACTTTATCGCCTGAGATGATCTGAGGAACTCATCTGTCACTACAAAATGCAGTTCCTTTTTATCAGTTATCTTACACTCTCATTTTCAAGAATTAGTCCTCGAGTGTAGTCATGATCCTTAGAACGCATAATTGTTCCTGGAGGCTTAGTTATTGTAAAAACGTCTTAATTTGTCCTGTCACTTGGGAATGACATGAGAATTTCCAAATATCACAGCAGACGGGCTTTTCCTATCGTTGAGGCCTCCTCATCGTGTCTGATTATCAAACGTTATTTTGACGCTGACGCGGAAGGATCACGTTGGGTAAGCTTCCGTGTTCCTCAAAGGAGGTTGTGAAGCAAATAAGCATCGTAGTTGACGATTATGCAAGGCAATAAGAAGGCCTCAGATCGAATAAGGCTGTCTTTTATGAAGGTACATTTGACAAGATATTACTATCTTGTTTGTTTAAACAAATAAAGTGAAATCGCTCTTGGTGATAACATAGACAATAATGAGGAAATGACCTGTTGGTTGCCACTGGTGACACTATCACACCTTTTTACTACAAACGTAACCTGAACAACGTATAACAAGCTCACAGGCTTGTTGTTTGATGCAAGTAAATTATACATAGTTACTTTGGCTAATCAGTGCTGTACGATATCTCAAAGCTTAAATTGACATTCAGCCTTTCCTGAAATTAAAAAAAACGTAATAACTACAAACGGACTGATCCCATATGCACCCAATCTCTCCGACATGTGTAGAATACAGTGGTCTACCTTGGGAGATTCATACCCCTGAAGGCCGTTACTAAAAAATAGCCTTTCTTGAATAACCTTCGAACGACATCATATATTTCCAAGATTTTCCAAAATGATGGATTCAGGACAAAATAACAGTAGTATCGTGGGGATAATAATCACTAATATCCCTAGGCTGTTCTAGCGAAACAAAGGTTCATAATAATACTATTTTACGAGGTCCTAAATAATAATCGTCTAGGAAAATCATCTACATACAGGGTGTTCATTTGAAAACCTCCCACCACGGATTAAAAAAATTATTTCACCATCTTCCACCCTCGGCCCCTCAGGGTCATTCCCTTAAAATTTTTAAGAGAGTAAGGTATTTGGAAATCCTTTATTTTGACGTTTGTTTTTTAAAATCAGTCAATTCATTTTCGAAAAAATTAGAAAATTAGTTAATTTGTTGAGATAGAAAACAAAAACATTCGAAGACATCACTTTTTATTTCAATAAGTGTTCAAAATGTTGCTCGTTAGGGTTTGCCAAATCTACAATTCGCTTAAACGGAAACTACCAAAATAAACGCCAATTCCGAAAATTAGACGTGGCAACAACCAAATAACAACCCGAATTTTTTTCCGCATTCTTTTCATCAACTTAGATATCCTGGGCGAACTGTATTTATTGTTATACCTTTGCGATAATCTTGGGATGGTAAAAATTAATTTATTGAGTTAAATTTTACTTCCAAAATTGTTTACACACTAGCCGAAAGAGTGGAAATGATTCTAATGTATGGTGCCCAAAATCAATGTGCTCTGCAAACTGCCTTCACGTTTAACGCATCCGGGGAAGATAACTTCACATAGGTACGTTTTGGACCTTGTTAGGAAATTTACTCAAACTGGATCAGTTGCAAATAAAAAACGTGATCATCGGAGAGTATTGGATAGAGCCGCTCAAGTTGAAGTTTTGGGTCAGTTTGGAATAAATCCTAATACTTCATTACCCAAAATTGTTGCTGTGACTGGTATTTCATTAGGCTCTGAACACACAGCTACTAAACTCCATGAATTTCATCCATTCATAGTGAAAATATTGCAATAGTTAAACGAAAATGATTTTCCTAGGCGAATTGAGTTTTGTGAATAAATGACTGCGCGATATCTACTTCAGTGATGAATGCACATTTTATCTAAATGGATTTGATAATAAGCATAACTGCTGGTATTGGAGCAATGAAAATCCTCATGCTTTTGTAGAAGGGCATACCCAGTAACCCTAAAAAAATTAATGTATGGGCAGGTATTTTAGGAAACAAAGTGATTGGGCCATTGTTTATTAATCGAAATTTGAATGGAGACATTTATTTGGATATGTTGGAAAATAATCCCCTTATCACTGAAACCATTGAAAACCAAATCGAAGAGGATAGAGACGCTATACTTGATGAGGCTGAAATATATTTCCAGCAAGACGGCGCTCCTCTTCACTATGTTCTTCCGGTTCGGCAATGGCTAGACAGGGCGAGGAGGGCCTGCTAGATCTCCTGATTTAACGTCATTAGGGGCCATTGAAAATCTGTTGTGTTTACTCCCCAACTTAAAAGTTTGGATGAACTTCGTCAACGCATCATCGAAAGCTGCCATGATATCCCACAACATGTTTTTGAAAATGTCCGTTAGGAATTTGAACATCGCCTGTATCATTGTTTGGCCGATAACGGATATTTTCTTGTGTTTTTGTTTTCTATCTGAACAAGTTAATATAAATAAAGATTTTTCTAATTCTCTTGAAAACGAATCGACCAACTTACAAAAGTCAAACTTCAAAATCAAGGAAATGGGGTGAAGTAGTTTTTAGTTAAAAAGTTGTCCCCCTTGACAAATCTCTCGACATGTCTCGGCGTTTTTTCTTTTAGTCAGTGGTTTTCGACAAAACCGCGGTGGGAAGTTTTCAAATGAACACCCTGTATGTATACAATGCCGTTTATAGATTATTTAAAAACAAGGACCCTTAAGGAGCTACCGAAGGCTTGTCCACATATTTTCAGACATCCTGGGCGTCGCGTTGTTCAGGTCACTCAACATTCACGAACAACCATCTCGGTCTTCACTCCTCCACGTGCACCGTAACAACCAAACACGGTTGTCAGTAGCGCTTGTGATGATGTAGAGGCGCTGCCCCTCCTCCTCTGCCACCCCTACTCGCGCCGTCATGGTGGTGATGATGGTGGTGGTGCCGCTTGCGTTCCGGCACCGCCTTGTCTCCATTCGGGAACGGTTCGTCGAGAGTCTCCTTGCGTCTGAGTGGCGAGTGCCGTGACGCCGCCTCTTGGGCAGCTTGGGCAGCCTTCAAACCCGCCCGGCTGCCTGCAGTTTCGTGCAGGTTCTCCCAAGCTTGGCGGTAGTACCGGTTCAGGCCGCCGTGTCGAGAACCTGAGCTTGACGAGGAAAAGGAGCCTACGGTGTTGCAGTCTGGTGATACGCGGTGGCGGTAGTGTGTGGCACTTCGGTTTCTGGAACGAGAAGTTTTCGTTAAAATAATTATTTTCCTTCTGCGTAAGAATCTGAATATTATAATGATATGGAAAATTAGGTAACTTTAAATTCAACACTAAAATATAAACAGCTGTTGCAGTGTGCGTACGCCAAGTGTTGCCTCTGTGGAGAAGGCCACCCCGCCAACTACAAGGGATGTAGTAAGGCGCCGAAGAAAGCTGCTTCTGCCCCCAAAGCAGTCCCCACCACAAATAGGACTTCTTACGCTCAAAAAGCGAAGAAGCCTATGTCCACTTCTGCCCCAGCAGCCGCCACTGCTACTGGAACTACTGCGCAGAAGCAACACGGCGATGACAGACTGCTAGCAATGATGCAAGCCATCATAACCCGCCTGGATGCACTCGAGGCCAAGATGCAAGACAAGCACTAGACCCGAAATGTCTACAGGTCAAAACGTAGAATCTCTACGCATTATCTCCTGGAACATCAACGGATTCAGGGCACGGAAACCAGAAATCCAGGAGCTACTAGACCAGTACCAACCAGAGGTGATGGCCATCCAAGAAACGAAGTTGGATGCTGCCCATAGTCTGACGTTCCCGCGGTACGAGACGTACCGCTACGACAGAAGGGGCAGAGGTGGAGGAGTCGCATTACTCGTCAAACGTACCTTGACGAGTCATGTCCTCGACGATGCCGCAGACATAAATGGGGACGGAATCACGGTCCAGGTCCATCACAACCACCGTCCCTACAGAATCACCTCCCTATATGTGCCACCAGGGGAGGCCCTAGACGAAGATGACATCGCTGACCTCCTGAGAGGCCCAGGAGCACGCATAGTCATCGGAGATCTAAACTGCAAGTCTCCGGCTTGGAACAACAACGTCGAAGACAGGAATGCAAGGCAGCTCCAGGAACACGTCGATGCCCTGGCGGGGGTCATCGTCGGTCCGGAGCAACCAACCTACATTCCATTCGGCCTTGGGCGACCTGCGGTACTGGACATAGCCATCCTCCGCAACATCAGAGAGGAGTTCGAGATAGAGACCCTGGTGGAAGGATCGTCGGACCACAATCCGATTCTACTAACACTAGGCACAGGGTCTAGAACTCGAGATAGCTTGAGCACCAAACGGACGAACTGGAACCTGTACAAATCCAACGTCCAAAGGAACATCACTCAAATTCCAACCATCCGATCAGCGGAGGAACTGGACAACGCAGTAGAGGAGCTGGAGAATGCTGTCCTGCGAGCGCACGAGGACAGCACCCGCTCCGAGACTACGGCAGTTCCTAGACACCTAAATGGTCCAGCACCGCACCATATTAGGCACCTGATCAGGGAGAACAGAAGACTCAAGCGAGAACATCTCCAGCTGTTGACAGAGGAGTCGAGAGTTGCGCGAAACAGAGCATCGTTAGCTCTGAAGAACGCACTCGCGGAACTCCAAAACAACAGATGGAATGCAGCCTGTGCAGAACTAGAGACCCAGGATGGTACGGCCTGGTCTATGCAGCGAAAATTTCGTCGTCAGCGCACCACGATCCCCACTCTTCACGGCCAACGCGGCTTGGCCTACTCCAGTGAAGAAAAAGCCGAAGCATTCGCCGATTCGCTAGAATCCGAATGCAGACTCAATTACCATGAAGACGAGGACGACAACCACGAGGAAGCCGTGGAAGTCGCAGCCGAAAACATGAGGAGTCGACCACCTGGCCAGGAGACGGATCACCCCTCCAGTCCAGAGGAGATCCGTCTGATCATCCGCAGGTTGAAGGTCAGAAAGGCGCCGGGAAGGGACGGCATCAACAATAGGATGCTGAAGAACCTTCCCACCAAAGGCATTGCTGCGCTCACCAACATCGCCAATGCCACTCTGAGACTTAACCACTTCCCGCGGCGGTGGCGGGAAGCCCAGGTTATAATGCTCACCAAGCCAGGCAAGGACCGGAAGTTGCCCCAGAACTACCGGCCCATCAGCCTGGTTTCCTCGGTGGGCAAAGTAGTCGAAAAGGCTATCGCCGTTCGACTAGAGAAGCAGGCAGAAGAACTGCAACTTCTCCCCCCAGAGCAATTCGGCTTCAGATCCTCCCACAACACGGAACTCCAAGCGCTACGACTGACGGAAAACATCACCAGCGGCTTCAATCTCCAGGAGGCAACCGGTCTCGTCCTGCTGGACGTGGAACGAGCCTTCGACCGAGTTTGGCACGATGGACTCATCGCCAAAATGGAAGCCGCCGGAATCGATGCGAACATGTGCCAACTAATCCAGAGCTATCTAACACAAAGATGGTTCACGGTGAAGATTGGTACATGCCATTCAACAAGACGTCAGCTGGAAGTAGGCGTGCCCCAGGGATCAGCCTTAGCCCCCCTGCTCTACAACATCTATACTTACGATGTGCCGAAGACAGCTGACACAATGCTGGCCCTATATGCAGACGACACTGCTATAGCCGCCAAGCATAGACGACCCGAGATCATCCGTAGGAGACTACAGGGTGAACTGGACCAAATTCAGGACTGGTGCGTGAAATGGAAAATCCGCATCAACGTCCAGAAGACGCAGGCAATCTTCATTCAACGAAGAAGGATTGCAAGACCTCTCGAAGCATCCATCTTCGATGAAGATATCCAGTGGAGCGACAATGTCAAATATCTGGGGATCGTTTTTGACAAGTCCCTCACCTGGAAAGCGCACATAGAAGCTGTCATCGCAAAAACCAGAGCAGCCATGGCTCAACTCTATCCATTACTGGGTAGACACAGCCAGATGCCGCTAGCGACCAAGCTACGGCTGATCAAGGCCATCGCTAGACCTCAGCTCGCTTACGCCTCCGCGGTCTGGGGGTACGCTGCCCCCAGCTACCGCAAGCGACTTGCTGCTCTAGAGATGAAGCTACTCCGGATCGCCACCAATGCACCTTCCTACGTAAGGAACTCAACCTTGCGTAGAGACCTGCATTGGGATACCATCCACGAGTACATGAGGAAAAAGGCGGAGAAGACCTTCGAGAAAGCTCAGGACCACCCGAACGAGCAGCTACGATTCCTCATGGACTACGATCCGGACGACAGGCCTCGCAACCGCAGAACCAGGTACCCCAGACCAAGGTCCCAGTTGGCACCCGCTAACTGGAACCTTGACTAGGAGACTAGGAGAATTTGCGGCTGCTCCCCCCCCCCCCCCCCACGGCGTGGATGCAGAGGACCAGGAACCACCGGGAGCAGGACCCACCGGGACCAGGACCAACCAGGACCAGGACCCGCCACGACCAGGACCCACCAGGACCATGACCCTTCAGGACAAGGAACAATATATTGGTAAGAGGACTTGAAACTCTTGATTTTTCGAAAACAAGAGTTTCAAGAGAAACTAGCAGACCCTCTATCGATGATCGCTTAACGACATCGATAGAATGTGCGAGGTAAAGGGAACCAACCCGGCGTTCCCAGAGACTGAAACACATGAGGAGACGTTGTAGCAGACCGCAGGTCACGCACAACACATGGCCTACCGAGACGCTGATGAGTCGGGCCACGCGGAGGTTTAGGGTTTAGTGGGTATTAGGTGATCTCTTCAAGACCCTGGAGCCCCACACACGTCGTAGCTCGTGCTATGGTATGGTGCGTAAATGCATTCCCCCCTCGTTAAAAAAAAAAAAAAAAAAAAAGTGTGCGTAGTGGATATGCAGAAGTGCAGGTGCTTGTGCAGTATGATGGTTTTGCTTTCATTGGTTCAGAGTTCTGCTGCTCTGCTGCCTGGACAAAGCGTTAGTGAAGTTTTTTGTTACCATCCAATTAGCCAAAGGTGAAGGGAAGTGGAAATATTTGGTTCACAGATGGCTCCTTAACTAAAGAGGGCTCTGACGCTGGTCCTTTAGGTTTCTGAATAAGGCACTGGCTTGTATACAAGGTGTTTCGAATTCGACCCTCACCATTGGGATCTCGGAAACTGTAAGATATACGGAGTCGCTTGAATGGGGGCAAAGTTGCGTATTTATAAAATTAGAAAGTTTCGAAATTCGAAGTAAAATTGTTTTGATTTTTTCCTGACCTCATCTGTGGTGGAATTTCAAAATGAATTGAACACTTACATTGTCACTTTTTCTCCTCTCAGAATTTCAATATAAGGTTTCATCTCTTGTCCTCCAGCATCAACTTTATTTTTTCTTATGGACGCCATATTGGATTTTTGCACAGATGACTAGAGTTTTTAATTATGATTCCAAAATACGTTATACATTGACATTGCCAGACCTTTGTTGTTTCAAAAAGCAGAGTTTTCGAGGTAGGCCTTGAAATTATCACATAATTATCTGTTTCACATACCAGAGTCATCTCAAAATCATTTTAATTTTTTCCTGAATTTATTTCAGTTAGGATTCCAAAATAAATTCCATGTTAACATTGCCACTTTTATCCCTCTCGAAGAAGAGAAGAACTTTATTTTATCTTATGGACGATATATTGGATTTTTGCTTAGATGAATAGTGTTTTTAATCCTGATTTAAAAATGTATAAGTAATATGTTATGCACTGACATTGCCAAATCTTAGTTATTCCAGAAAAACAGAAGTTGAAATTATCAGATTTCATTTGCTTCGTACACCAGACTAGACCTCAAATTGAATATAGCAACAGAGCTTGGAAGGCCTAGAAGACAAATAAAGAAAGGGAATCGAGCATACAAAATACCGGACAACATTTTGAACATCTGCTATGATTTACTTCAGCTTATTTATGATTATTATTGCTATTACGATCAATAGAATTTTGATTTTATGTTCAGGTTTTACGGTACTTTTTTATTTACTTATAAATTTCATCTAACAACAAATTTATGTAATACGTCACTGAATTTAGAACTGAAAAGCCCATTTAAATGTAGAAAATTCCAATATAGCGGCCATATGAGAAAACAAAGTTGGCGATGAAAGGCGAATGAATAAATGTCTAATTGAAAATTTGATTACGCTATCCTGCAGAGTAAAATAAGTAACAATCACAACATGCAATTTATTTTGAAATCCCATCTCAAATAAAGTCAGTAAAAAATAAAAGTGATTCTGATCTAGTATAAGAAACAAATTACTATCTGATAATTTCAAGGCCTACCTAGGAAACTCGCCTTTTTGGAAATAACAGGTTTGGAAATGTCAATACATTGGAATCAAAATTAAGAACTCAATTTATCTGTGCAAAAATCCAATATGGCGCGCATAGGAAAAAATAAAGTTGATGCCGGAGGACAAGGGACGGAACGTCATAATGAAATTATAATTAAGCCATCTTGTAGAGGAACAAAGTGGCAATGGTAATGTGCAACTTACTTCAAAATACCACTACAGATAAAGTCAGGAGAAAACGATTTTGGAAAAATTTTGTTTTTTCCGTCTCCGAAACTACTTTGAATTTCGAAACTTTTTAGGTGGTATTTTATTGATTACCTAAAATAAGCAACTTTGCCCCCATCTAGGCGAGTTCGTATCTTTGACAGTTTCCGAGATCTCAATGCTGAGGGTAGAATTTGAAACACTCTGTATATGTATATTTCGCAATTAGGCGCCTGATCAGTCTGATCAGGCCTCAATCAAGGTTTCGAGACCTACGCGTTTAGTAGAGCATATCTTCAGAAAGGGATGAATCCCGATCTGGTACAAAAAGGTTGAAGCCAAAGGCCTTTGCCCAGAGTAGAGCAAATATACCTACACTCCTCAGATTCACCATCAGTACCAAGATAAACACAAAATCTTAGCCTTGGCCACGCCCTTGGCAATTTAGGTGAAAACTGATTAAACAACATATTCTAGCCAACAGGCGGAAAAAGCATGACCTGTCTCCAGGTTACTTCAACAGGGATGCCTTAGAAAGAAACAGAAAAAAGAGTCTGGATACCAAAGACCTAGAAAGGGAAAGTTCCTTTTTTGACAAAAAAATACTTGTAGGATGCGCGGGGGCTTGCACGTGATTTGTAAAGCAGCAAAATTATCAATATTCTTTATAAGAAAAAAAACTGCAATGAGATAATAATAGATTTAATAAAAATAAAAAGATTTATTTTCTATAAAAATGCTCTGACAGGTCGTGTACAGGTGCCTCACAAAACCGTCATTTCGGCTCTAGGAAGCAATTAAGGTTTTAGTGGGATAGAACCTGGTAACGGTACATGGACTTTTTTGACCGACATTAAGTTTTCGTGGCAATGGGACGAAATCGAAGACTCATTGGACACAAGCGATTGATCGTATCAAGTGTTTATTATATACCTTGATCTAATATCGTCAAAAATCTAAGTACAGAAGGTGAAAAAGGTAGTGCCACAATTGTATGACTTAAAACACAACTCTATACACCTATATCCATACTAGGCCTCACGATGTGTCAATTCATCAAAGCAAAACGGAGAGCGAACCCGGTTGGAGTCCAAAAACATCAACGCCATAGTCCTTAAGTTAGTCAGAGAACTGTGGATTAGATTTACTCGTCTCGGCATCAAACCTTCTTGGTTGGTAACATCCTTGGAGTTTTTAAGGTGAAAAAGGGAAAAGGAGGACTAGGGAGGGGGGGTTGCAAGCAGTCTCAATAGCAATTCTATAGAGAAAATATAACCTGCGTCCCGGTCATTGTAAAGCTAACGCCTTTGAAGTCCACATTATATGACATGGAAGATAGGGATGCGAAGGTTTATATGTATATGTATATTGTTCGTTGGAAAAAACTAGTGGGATACGATAACTGTAGAGGGACAAGAAAAGAGGTGTTATGTCACTAGGCATTCCGACTTGCGTGCCCTGAATGAAAGCTTCAGCTTCAGCATTTCATACATTGTCCTGAAATTGTTTATAATTTAAAGTACAAAACGTGAAACGAAAAGCAAGTGCTACCAAATCCTACACACTAAAACACAAAGAAACGTAAAAAAACAAAAACACATGCAGTTGATCTTATCAAGTATTTATTGCAAACCTTTATCTGAGATCGTCAAAAATTTAAGTACAAAAGGTGAAAAAGGTAGTGATTCAATGGGAAGAATTGAAACACTTAAAAACTATATACGTATATCCATGCTAGGCCTCACGATGTGTCAGTTCAGCAAAGCAAAATGGAGAGCGAACCTCGTTCGAGTCAAACCTTCTTGGATGGTAACATCCTTGGAGTTTTTAAGGTGAAAAAGGGAAGAGGAGGAGGGAGGGGCTGCAGGCAGTCTCAATAGCAATTCTATGGATAAAGAAAATGAAGTTGCGTCCCGGACATTGTAAAAACATTTCTTGAAATATAGGGATGCGAAAATTTATATGTATGATGATTGTAAAGGGGCAAGGAAAGAGGTGTTATGTTTCTAGGCATTCCGACTTGCGTGCCTTGGATCGAAATGAAAGCTTCAGCTGGACACCATGTGTCCATTTCATACGTTGCCCTGAAATTGTGAATACCTTGAAGCACAAAATGTGAAACGAAAAGCAAGTGCTACCAAATCCTACACACTAAAACACAAATAAAAAAAACAAAAACTGTGTACGCAAGCGGTTGTATCAGCGTGCGCCGTGAGCATGCATAGTGGTAGTGCGGGTGCGTGCGTCGCTGCATGATGACCATGGCCCCGCCTACCTTCACGTTTCTTGGCCTCCCATTGGTCTATGCTAGATAGGGTTGCTGAAGTAGCCCGCCCGATGCCTGTGGGCGGGCCGGTAGGCTCCGCAACCGCCGCCCGCGCTGAACTCCCTGCGGCCCACCTGCTGATCGGGAAATGGTAGTGCCAGCAGGGTGTACCACCGACTGGGCGGCATCGAGGAGCCGCTGCCCGTCAGGTGTGACCTGCGTAGGTGGGCGCTAGACGTCCGGGGCAGCCGGTGGGATGTACGCGCCGACGCACCCGCACTACGGCAGCGCGATATTTTTTATTAAATACATTTTTTTTATTTACAGAACATATACAGACATCATGACTTTAAAAGTCCCAGTTGCAATTGCTAGAGTTGCAGTCACCGTTCTTGGCGGGTCAAAGAAAGACTACCAGTATCCCTTTATATATCTCCATCTCCCTCATACATACACATGCAACCTACCCCTGTGTGAACGTTTGTTCGGTAATCTCAAAGACATACGTTTTTTAGTTGTGTGTCCCCGTCTCGAAAACTTTGTCGTTTCGTATGAGTGCCATTCAATCATATTTGTCAGAGTGACAACTTACTTGACATCGGTGTGCAATTCGAGTTGTCCTGTTATCAATCTTCAATATAAAATTGTACAATGCCCGGATATACGATCAATAGAGAAAGCCGACAGCTCGTGCTAAATTTATAGGAGTATTTCCAGGAAGAGAATGAAAACAGCGATCCCCTGTTACAGAAAATAAGAAAGGTTTGCCCATAGCAACACCTGAAATTAGGAATACTGTATACGATATGAGAAGTAAAGGAGAACATATTACGACCGCTACGTTCAATCAGGAGCTTAAAAAAAAGTACATATACAACGCTTCGGATTTTAAGGCGTCTATTGAAAGCTTGCGGTTTTTCCTAGAGGACAGAAGATAATCGCTGACTCTTGTGTGAAAAATCAGACATTGTTTGTCACATATCCACATCCAATGTTAAATATTCCATCAAGTTAGCAAATAGATGTGATATTTTGTATTATATTGTAAGTTCCGTATGTATTTTTATTTCAACTTTAAAAAACATCAAATGGCATGTCATACTCTACCCATGTTTATGTACTAGATTGGAAGATTTTTGAGAATTACGATTAGTAAATAATTGTGAAACGGTTTCCCTCAGTAAGAAAAATTAAGATCCGCCCATGGCATGGAGACTCGATCTGTTTAATTATTTCATATTGCGTTGATGACGTAACCGCCAAGAACGGTGACTACAACTATAACAAAAAATCAATAAACCTCATCTCTATTGAGTAACTTCAACATCTGCAATGTTGTTTGCCAAACTGATAAATTGAAAATTTAGAATAAGGACACCCAAAAGCTAACAAATATTGCTGCTATGGTGGCCATTGCATACAAGGGTTGCTGAAATATTGCAACTAGGATTTTTAAGATCTTACCGATAGTACAATGCTGAATGCGTAAATTAAATCAATTAAACTTTTGAAAAAAAAGACGTCAAATAAGTTGACTTTATACTTCCTACGCAACGTTGTCATCAGTTCGTAAAGAATTATGTTTTGGCCTTTCTGAGAAAAAAGTTGGCCAAGAATATGTATAACAAAAAATTAAAGGTCCTTCCTCCTCCACGTGAGAGAAATTCCTGCAGGCGTACATGATCGTTGCCTTCACGTTACACAGAGCTCACTTTAAGGATACATGCACGAAGACATTTACGATATTCTTGATACCTTGCGTAGGATTAATGGGGTTGAAGCGGTGAAACAATTCAGGTATACTACCCTATGCAACCCTTAACCCTCAATTTTTAACCCGTACAAAAATTTTTCAGAAAATGTTCTGGATCCTCTGAAACGTCAAAAAACGATGGTTACTAGGCACGCTTCGCGATCTGCGCCCTCCCCTACTATCGTTGCCAGGCAACGTGGTGATGACGCTTATATGTCGCACTCTTCCTAACACGCTTCTCTCTTTCTCGTACACATGTAAATCTAAAAGGGAAAACGACTTTGGCTAGCACTGTATATGTCACTTTCTCGTTGATACGGATGTAAAAAAACAATGTACTTGTAGAGTGCGGACGCTGGGAGAAAAGTCCGACATCTTCACCTACCAATCAATCTTGTACTTGTACTTTATTTTTATTAATCAATTTTAAAATTGAGATTTCGCATTTGTCCGCGGTAATCCGAGTTCCTAAGATGATTTTTTGATAATTAAACAATTAAGCTACATTGCGTAGACCGTACTGCCACTTTCCCACAAATCTAGTTAACACAGAAAGTTAATTTTTAATATCTAACATGCATTTACCCACCTCCTCACTAAAATGACAATGGTGGTAATAATAGCTGCAAGGAATATGAAGCCTCCAAAGGCTCCCAATGCCACGATGGCTCCTAAATTCAGCTTTGCTCCAAAAGTTTCTCTCCTTTCGCCGTCGACCGGCAGAGGGATGTTCAAGTTGCTAGGGGATTCTCCGATTCGGGGTATGTTAGAACTGCCTGCTATTTCGTTGTCTTCTGGATATTTTACTGGAATTAAAATGAAAATACAATGTTGTAGTTTAACCAAGTACTTACGTCCTTTGCTTCAATAATGAAGTCTCTAGCATATTTAAATATAAAAGAAACTAGAATTGTAGAGCCGGCCACTAACATAAGAATAAGCATTTTTGCCTTATTTAACTGCTTTGCGAGTGTGTGAAAAACTACTCTTTTTAGATAGTCTTTCTAGAAAGCCTTGACATTTCGAAAACTTGATAATTGATCACGGCATTTTAGTTAGAATTTTTTTAATTTTGTTATATATAATTACAGTTATACTATTCTAATCTCCTCAACTAAATGCGCATTCTAGAAAAAAAGTTTCAAGTTAAAGCTGTAGGGTTTCGATGGGTAAAATGATGGTGACCATGAAAATAACCTTGACTATGACCTTCAATGTCAGTTCAAGATCAACTGAATATCTTCCAATAGAACCTTTTTCATATCGAAATTGAAAAGACTAGTAAATTTTACATCCGAGCATTATCTTGGTCATGACCTTGAGCATTGTCATCAAGGCAGTTACAAGGTGAATCCAAGACATAGAAAACAATTTGCTCTAGCGAGAATGTTCGAAAGCACAGTTGCGTGACCTTGACTACGTCCTTGACCATGATCTGCAAGGTCAACTCAAAATTTTCTAAGAAAACCTTTTATTTTTATACTGGCAATCGAAAAAGCGAAAAATGTTACGTCCGAATGTGACTTTGACCTCAAATAACATTCAAGCTTGATACGATCTTGAATTCAAGTCGAGGTCACTTTCGAAAGTAAAATTTTTTGCTTGTACCATTTCCAGTATAAGAATGAGAGGCTTGCTTTGAAAATTTTGACTTGACCATGAAGGTTATAGTCAAGGTCACCTTCGAGTGATCCTCACAAACCTCACTACTGTGCTGTGGAATATTTTAGCTAGAGTTTTTGATGTCTTGTTTCAACCTTCAAATGGCATCGAAGGCAAGTGTCAAAGTCATAGCCAAAGTCATTGTCAAGATCACCAACCATTTTGCATTCTATTTTCATTTTGTCCCCCCGAAATCCTACAACTTTTGTTTGAAGCCATTTTGTTTTTGAGAATGCACAGTTTTCGAAATATTTTGTCGGGAAGATTAAAATAGGACATCGTGTACGGCAAGCTCAGGTGTTCGACAAGGATCCAATCCCATCCCAATTTTATTTGAACTATAGAGGAATTAACTACACAAAATATTAAAAATTGTATTAAATCATACAAAGATGCAGATTTGATATGTTAAGGCCAAAAAACTGACTCTTCTATATTTCGTTAATGATTTTTGTCTCACCCAGTAGTGGTGGCAAAGTCGTCGTTCCAGGCTGACTAGTTGTAGTTGTGGTTCTTTGGGGTTTCTTTGTTTTACTGGTAGATTTGATGATTTCCACTCCTCGGATGGTTGTTGGTGGTGGTTTGGTACCCCGGGTTCGTTGTTTGATAGTCGTTGTCATGGTAACAGTTGTTGGAGATGGACGTTGTGTGGGTCTTGGAGTCTCGGTGTTGGTAGTCGACATTTCCTCTATTAACACAGAAAAATTATATGCTAATGCGATATTCATTTTATTTATAAAAACGTTGATGACCTTAAATCACGGGGTGAGTTTTTAGTCAATAACTCCCTTATCACGTTTCATATAAAATAAGTTAAATACAAACATTTCTTCTGACTTAGAAGATACTTTTATTCCTACAGAGTGATTCATAACTACGTGGTGACCCAAACATACATTTTTCAAGTATGCCCTACATTTTATTTCAGATTTTTATAGGCCTTTTCAAATGAATCGATTTAATATATTACACAATACACAATCTATCGAAAAAAACATTCAACTTTGACAACTTACACTTTCGCAAATGTCATAGCTAGAATACTGATTTTTTCGACAAATAAATTATATTATTCTCTTTTTTGTCCATACCTACTTACTTGTCCAGTTTCTTGGTTAGTTTATATAGGGTGGTTCTAAGGCTATTTTTCTGATTTGAGGATTATGGGAGTTTGCACGACTAGTTTTTGAGTTACAAAAAACAGGAACACCTTTTTTACTCTTCAACTTTATTGAATCAGGCTTAGTAGATTCAATATACAGGGTGTCCCAGAAGTCGACGTCAAGCCGAAACCGGGTGATAGGCAAAGTCTTAGCAGCTATCAGAAAAACATTTAAAAAAATTTTATGTATGTGTTTTGAAAATTATAGGTCTTTGAAAAAGATATAGAAATTTCACACCCTACAGCAGTCTGTCAACTCCTGTTACTACAAATATTAACTTTTTTTGGATTTTATTTTTACAATGGAATGTTGAATAATGCATCTTCAAACTGGTGTCTCAACCTTACTGCCAACTTTTCTCGTTCAGGAAAAATTGCCACTTATTTCCCAACCAAGCATTCCAAAGTAAAACTTTAACTGGCTGTACTGGAAAAAATGTACTACGAGAGTTTGGCAAGTAACCTTAAAAGTTGGCGCATTAAATAACGATTCCAAAATGATATAACACTTAGAAGATTACTCGTTAACTTATGCACAATTTTTATTTGAAAACAAACTGATGAAAATTTTTCAAAATTTACTAATTAAACAGCGATTATGAAAACGCACAAGGACCCTTAAGGATCCCTGTTTGCACAACAGTGGGCGTCAAAATGCTGCTGATGATGATTTATCTTAAAAAAGATCGGGTTGTTAAACGAGCGAATCCACGGTTATTAACAAACTCAGCTGCTTCCAATAGTCTTTGCCGTAGCTCAGCTACATTTTGAATCGGCCTGAAATACACTTTTTCTTTTACAGTTCCCCAGTAAAAAAATCTAAAGGATTCAAATCAGGTGATCGGGCTGGCCACGGTATTGTACCAGACCGCCTTATCCATCTGCCTGGAAAGTTTTGATCGAGATACTCTCTCACTGAGAGTGCATAGTGCGCTGGGCAGCCATCATGCTGAAACCACATGTCCCTGTAAATACTCAGTGGCACGTCCACCAATAAATTTTGTATATGATTTTTCAAAAAATCCAAATAAACTTCAGCAGTCAAAGTCTCTGGGAATTCAAACGGACCGATTATTTTACCATTTAAAATCCCTGTCCAATGGTTTATCTTGAAGCGATATTGAGATTTATCTTCTCTCATCAAATGTGGGTTTGCTACGTGCCACTCCTGTAAGTTATGCAGGTTCATGTACCCATCTTTCTTAAATGTGGTCTCATCCGACCATAAAATTTTTTCAAAGAACTGTGGATCTTTCCTGTGTCTTTCTAACATTGTGTGACAAAAAGCAACTCGGGGCTCATAATCCCGGGGCAGGAGAGGTTGAACACGCTGTATGTGGTATGCATGAAGCACATCACTTACTTGCTATTGCACACTTTGATACCGATCAGTACTCCTTCGTTTACTGCGCATCTTTACATGTTCGTGCTTGTTGATTTCGTACTGTTACTAATTTTGGATTCGTGAACTGGACTGTTGATCGCTTGTGATTTGGATTTGGACTGTTTAATTGCTCTTCAAAACAACATTTGCTTTCCTTAGACTATCTTTGATAGTGTGATTGTGCAGTGCCGCTATGTCCGTGTACACCGTACAAGAATATGCTAACATGCACCTCATTTATGGGGAAATGCAGATGCAACGCTAGTGCTGCAGCGAGACTTTACTGTGAGAGGTACCCGAATGCAGCTCGTCATCCAGATCATCGAGTGTTCACAAATGTGCACCGCTTACTGTTCTCAGAGGGCGAACTACCAAACCAATCACACGGTGAGGGAAGATCTTTCCTGCCTTACGAAGACGTGGTGCTAGGAGCTGTCGAAGAAGACCCGAGTACTTCAGTGCGTGCAATAGAACTAAAAACAGGTGTGCCCAAAAGTACAGCTCATAGAATCTTGCAAAAAAACGTGCTCCATCCATACCACGTACAGCGTGTGCAAGCTCTTCTGCCCCGGAATTATGAGCCCCGAGTTGCTTTTTGTCGCACAATGTTAGAAAGATACAGGGAAGATCTACGGTTCTTTGAAAAAATTGTATTGTCAGATGAGACCACATTTAAAAAAGATGGGTACATGAACCTGCATAACTTACACGAGTGGCACGTAGCAAACCCACATTTGATGAGAGAAGATAAATCTCAATATCGCTTCAAGATAAACCATTGAACAGGAATTTTAAATGGTAAAATAATCGGTCCGTTTGAGTTCCCAGAGACTTTGGCTGCTGAGGTTTAGTTAGGTTTTTTGCAAAATCATTTAGAAAATTTATTGGAGGACGTGCCACTGAGTATTTACAGGGACATGTGGTTTCAGCATGATGGCTGCCCAGCGCACTATGCACTTTCAGTGAGAGAGTATTTCGATCAAAACTTTCCAGGCAGATGGATAAGGCGGTCTGGTACAATACCGTGGCCAGCCCGATCAAATGATTTGAATCCTTTAGATTTTTTTACTGGGGAACTGTAAAAGAAAAAGTGTATTTCAGGTCGATTCAAAATGTAGCTGAGCTACGGCAAAGACTATTGGAAGCAGCTGAGTTTGTTAATAACCGTGGATTCGCTCGTTTAATAACCCGATCTGTTTTAAGAAGATGTCGAGCGTGTATTGCGGCTGAAGGAAAATAGTTTGAGCATTTGCTGTAAAGGTAAATCATCATCAGCAGCATTTTGACGCCCACTGTTGGGCAAACAGTTATCCTTAAGGGTCCTTGTGCGTTTTCATAATCGCTGTTCAATTAGGAAATTTTGAAAAATTTTCATCAGTTTTTCTTCAAATAAAAATTGTGCATAAGTTAACGAGTAATCTTCTAAGTGTTATACCATTTTGGAATCCTTATTAAATGCGCCAACTTTTAAGGTTACTTGCCAAACTCTCGTAGTACATTTTTTTCCAGTACAGCCAGTTAAAGTTGAGCAAAGTTTCACTTTGGAATACTTGGTTGGGAAATAAGTGGCAATTTTTCCTGAACGAGAAAAGTTGGCAGTAAGGTTGAGACACCAGTTTGAAGATGCATTATTCATCATTACATTGTAAAAATAAAATCTTAAAAAAGTTAATATTTGTAGTAACAGGAGTTGACAGACTGCCGGAGGGTGTGAAATTTCTATATTTTTTTCAAAGACCTATAATTTTCAAAACACATACATAATTTTTTTTTAAATATTTTTCTGATAGCTGTTATGACTTTGCCTATCACCCGGTTTCGGCTTGACGTCGACTTCTGGGACACCCTGTATAGTGAAAATACAAGATCTTTCGTTAGCGACTAAATGCTATTTTTTATTGGTTAATGTAGTGTAATATCTTTCATAACTCAAAAACCAGTCATACAAACTTCCATAAACCTTAAATAAAAAATGCCTGTATTAAGGGGAATCAGGGCATGTGTGATCTATTCAAAAATTTTGAGATACCGTTCATTTTGCGTTCACATCTACGCTGTATAAGCCTTCCAAAAAACTAATCAAGTAAGCAGAAAACTTTATAGTAAGCTATATCAAATTACTGTGTTACAAAGCGCTTATTCAAATCTGCAACTTAATGTGAACATTATCATCTGAGAAAATGAATGTTTAGGTCACCACGTAGAGACCAAAATATTTTTTAAATAAAGAGCATACGGCTTGCTACAATTTTTGTAAACAACGTCTTTAACGGGGTTATCGATCAAGCCCACACTAAAAACTCATCCTGTATATTACATGATTCGGTGTATGCTTTTTGGTTCTCGTCAAACTCGAATCAAAAGGCGTTTCGTAGAGTTACAATTATTTCTATTATTTTATTAAAAAACTAAATATTTCAGCACATGACTTCATTATTATTGGGTGCACATGTACCTGTTGCAAATAAATGTCTATCTATCTATCTATCATCATTCATCATCATCACCACATATTTTAACATTTAACAGTTTCTGTTCAAAACGCGTAATTTAAAAAAAAGTAGCTTACGTTCACACGTTGGTGGTAGAGCATCATATTGTCCGTTTGCCATACAAGTGATGGAGCTTGGTCCCACAAGTTTGTATCCGGGATTGCAGCTGTATTGTACGACTGATCCGAATACTGTCTCGTTTGGAATCCTTGTCATCCCATTTGCAATTTCCAGGGGTGCTTCACAATGGATAGCTGGAAAATAATGCATTATGTTGTTGCACTCGTTACTTCCTTCAAACACTTCCGCATACTTACTAATTCCAATCAATTAGATGGAAGTAAGTTCTTTCGTAAGTTGCCGAGTTTTATCGATATACCACGTAACGTAGGAGTGTGTAATTTTCTTTAGCTGTTATACTATTGTATGGATACACTGCGTGCAGCTACTGCTTTTATGACTTAAATGACTAAAGTTAGTAAAGGACTCCGCATAAAACATATGGAAAATAAGTCCCAGTCGACTGGTCTGAAAATTTAGTATGACATATTTCTCGCCTTCCTGAACAAAAGTTCTTGTGAGACCAAATCAACCCGATGATTAGTTTCTGAGAAATAGGGGATGAAGTTTGCCAAAAAGGTGAATATGAACATAAAATCAATTTTCAAATTCTTAGACAAAACTATTCAAATGCAGCATGTACCGAATCTTGTAAACCTTTATAGTAAACAAACAGGAAACCCACAAAGGCAAGCTTGTGCTTCGGATACTTAATGATTATATTCATAGATACCTTCCTTTAATTTTTATTTATGAGTTATAAATGCTGTATTAGCGCTTCAGTGTTGCATGGGCCAAACGTTGGCCTAGCTTTAGACGGAGTAAAAGGTATCCGCACAAGGGCAAGTTTATGCAAATAACGATGATTTACCCGATGACTACGCAATGATTAATGGGCATTATTACAAACAAATGTGTCTTTTTTTGATATGGTGTTCACGAGATTGTAGTTCGTCATCCTTCGAAAAAGTTGACCCAAACTGTTCGATATGCCAGAAGCAGATGAAAACAAAGAGGCTTAAGTCAATAGTCATTGTACTAAGATACCCTGAAGCTATGTTCACACTACTGCGCTTTTACTTCCTCTTCCGTTTTCAAAATGACCTTGAATTGATATTGTGAAGGACATAATCGAAGACAACTAAATAATGTCGACGTTTCAGTACCTGTGAGGCGAACTCTCATCTTGAGTGTTTTTTTTTGAATTCTCAAAAACTCCATGCTAGCGTCAACGTAAACGTGAAAATACATTTGTCCTTAAATCGACCTTGTAAGGGTCGTGGCTTAACAGGTTTTTAAATGGAACATCGTCTTCCAGTATTTTTTCGGACTACAATCGCCCCATTCACCATTTTTACAAATTGGACAAACTTCCTCCCCCTATTTCTAAGAAACTAATCATATGACTAATTTGGTCACATGAGATCTTCTGTATGTTCCGTGCGGGGTCCTTTCCTACTATAATTCTACCGAGTTCAATATCGTGACATAAAACGATCTTGAATTGCAAAAAGTATATTGTAATGTCAACACATAGATGCCAGGATATTCGAAAATATATCAAGATAAAACTTGGGATTATGTTATACCCACTCTGGGTATTTAAATGATTAAACAAATGATAGAAGAACACGAGTTCTTGACCTACAATACAACTTAACATACACTCAAATTGCAAAATAGTAAAAATACAGATTCACAGTTTCGCTGACGTCAATAATATTCTGACTAAGCTCCAAAATCATCGTAAATAATATCAACGTATTTGACGTCTCTAGAGCTGTTCTTCCAAGAATAGTTTGACCAAGTAACCAAGGCTAATAAATTTACCCAAAACAAAAAAATTTGCAATCACATAGAAGTAAAAGCTTACGTTCACATCGTGGCGGAGGTCCATTCCACCTTTCATCGATGTCACATGCCAGTTGTGCTCTGCCAATCATCTCGTAGCCTTCATCACATGAGTAAATCACTCTTGATAGATATCCGACACTGTCATTTACTAAAGTGTACTCCCCATTGGGAATGCTTGCTGGATAACCACACTGGATCCCTAAGAGCAGAAAGAAACTTATTTTGATATCGCAGCGGCAATATTATCTCAAAATTTACTAGTTCGACTGGACTACGGAATTTTGTGGTTCGGACGCGAGATCGGCAGCTCGACTCTGATTAGTCATTACAAACGACTCGACTAACAGATTCAGCGTAAGAGAGTGAATGAGCATCCAGGTGCCATTTTTCTATGTACTCACGTTTAGTGCTAAGAGGGGGCTTATACTGTGCCAGAGGCTATTGTACCTAGCATCTGGTGGTGTAAATTGAGTTTCTGATTGAGTAGAACAACTATATCTAAGGTCGGGAGCTGTATTACATCACCTTGTCATGCTCAGGAAATACTGAAGGGCGTTGGTGTGACCTTCTGCAAAAGTAGTACGAGGTTGCAGTTAGTTCATCTAGGTAATATTAAATACTGTGGGTTCAACCCATGGGGCTGTAGTAATAGAAGGGCGGGGGTGACCCTTAAAATCATCACTGGCTTCCAGAGCGGACTCGCAAGTTAAGTTTCGGGCATTACTATTTATTATTCTTACACTTCTTTGAGTGGTGACACTTTCAGACTAGGTGGTGATTCGACACTAAGGATAGAAATGATAGATGGTACTCTAACGTTTGCATTATATGATTTAATACACCATAATTGTACATATTGCCATTTCAAAGGAGTTTTTGATTAAAAAGGCGAAACAATTCTGTTTTCTTCATTAACAAACAAAACATTTGGATGAACGAGTAGGGGGCTGCCTTAACCTGCTCCCTGTACGTCACAAGCCAATAAGACTGAAAAGCCGCAAGTCAATGCGTCGCAGAGACCAACTACAAAATTGTATCCTGACAACAGAGGTGGAGATTGTATATCCGTGAGATATTTATGAAACACAATATTTTCTACCACTCTTTATTTTTTGTCTTTCGCAGTCAATATGATGGAGATACCTCAAGATAAATGAACTACGTATACATACACACTTTGTACTTTGTGGATAATATACATTTCTTAATTCGTATAAAAAGTATAACCATGAACTACTTACTTTTGCATACGGGTGGAAATTCGTTATAGAATCCAGTTTCTAAACATGTCCTAGTTGTTGGTCCAACAAGAAGGTGACCTTCGTCACAAGCGTACTCTATGGTAGTACCTACATTGAAGTTTGGTGCTACCATGGTTGAGTTTGGTGGTTGTTCAGGACGTCCACAAGCTTTTGGCTCTACAAATAAAATAAGAAATGACAGTAGGAAAACTAAATAAGTCGTTCTTCAATAGTTTAAATACAATAAGCTGATATAACAGGTACTCCGGATAAAGTCCAACTTACGATGCTGACAGATATAGTTGATTCTCATTTCACAATCAGTATCTGCCCACAACCAGCCTTTGGTACCATCGTATCTTCCACACTCTCCACTACCTAACGGTAGATTCCAGAAAGACACAGCAACTTCATCCCCGCTCTCTAGCCATCTCCATAACCCATTACTTCTCCTCCTGTCTCTTATCTGAAAAAAATGGCGTCAAGTTTTTTTAGTTTTGTGTACAATTTTGGAGTTTTTAAGATTTGCCCCCTTGAAAAAATATGCTAACCCCCTCGTTCTCCAAAAAGTTTTGAAGGCAGGTTCGCTTTTACAGAATGTTATCTTTTGCCTGTGAAAGACCTACCCCCTTCCGCCTGCGGGCGCACATGATCGTTGCTATGGCTAATCTCGCGTGGATGACGAATGGCGTTTCACTTCCACATCAGTACTATATTGCTCCATCAAGTTTTAAGGGTAAATGTATGGGGAAATATATGATGAGTGAAATATGTCTAACAGGTTCGAGGCTATACAACTCCCAGCTCCCAATTTTTAACCCTGCAAAAATTTCTCTGATGATGATCAGAAAAATTCCGAAATTCCAAAAAACGAAGTTTCAACGATTTTTATTTGTTTCATCTTTTGCCCATAGTTCAAACAAACATTTTTCGACCTTGGCATAGTGTGAATGTTTCATAAAAATCCGAGCAGTACTTGCCGAGTTATAGACGCGCCAAGTATTAGCAGATAAACCGGTAAACCAACAGATAGTCAGACACCGACCTATGGCTTTTAGAATCCCATTATATAGGGTGGTCCAAAAATAGACGGAGATATTTTATAGGGTGATTCCTTGTTACAAAATATAAAAAAAGTTTCTATAAACGTGGGTTCGGAGATGCAGTTTTCAAGATACAGGGTGATAATTTGAAAAAAATTCAGAGTGAATTTTTGGTTTTCCAAGGCACTTTTGATTTTTTTTTTGCAGAAATTAATAAGCTAATTTTGTCCAATGACATGCAATAAAATTATTTTTTTTCTCGAAAACGAATTGAGATACGAAAAAAATACAAGAGGCAAAGAAGTTACTTCAGATGCTCAATCAAACAACAAATATTAAAATTGCAAAAAAGGGCAGTAGCGTACATTTTTTGCCAATAATATTCGCTAAGGTGCCCCTTCGGGATGCCACTGGGCTTGTTAATTTCAACCTATTCGTGCTGAACTAGCATCTTGATACAGGAAATAATATTAAAAAATAAAAACAAAACTTAAATTTATCCTCCTGTATTTTGAAAACTCTGCGTCTCCGGACCCATGTTTATGGGAACTTTTTTTCATATTTTTAACAAGGAATCACTCTCTAAAATATATCCGTCTATTTTTTGAGCAGCCTGTTTAGTATAGCCAGAGGCCCTCCATAAATAGAACAATCTGGAAGCTGCAGACATATTTCTTATTCACCAAGTTACTTTTTTGTGGACTAATTGTGGTTATATTCTCTTTCCTACTATGTACTAGAATAAACTAAACGAGATAACGTCATATTAGGTATCATAATGTAATCGCAATGTAATAATTGTAACCTGGTTATAATTTATTGTAATGTAAGAATTCCTTACCGCTCCTAACCAGTACTGCCCAGCTGCGTCACCTCGGTGTCTCCTCCATAGCTCCCAGCTGATAAACCCTTGAAGGGCGGGGTTGCTTTCAGATACTAGGGTGCCTCCTCTTTGCCTACAAAACGTTGCTGCCTCTAGGAATGGTAGAGGTTGGCGGTTGTAGAAGATGTAGCATTTGCCGTTGTAGGTTCCAGTGCTTCCTGAAGTAGAAAAAGTATGGACATGTTGATGTTGTAGTTAAAAAATAAAGTTTGGCTAATCTCAGCAAAACAAAGTGTCTATTTAGCTCGTGGTGTGACGAACGACAGATTCAAAGTTCCAAATATTTTCCGCTTAATTAGTCCAAGCATTAACCGACATACATTGTCAAAGGACCATTCAATATGCCTTTGCAAAAGTGGTTTAGGTTAGTTTCGCTGATTTTTTATACGTTATGCATCTTGTCGTCCTTAATAAATATTTTATTGGCCTCAGGCCAAGTCAGTATATTGGGGTATCAGTCGCACTCAGTTATTTACTTTATGCTGAAGATGAGCTTCGGTTTATTTCGCTGATATTTGTATATGTTATGTGTCTCTGCATCCTGAACAAATGACTTGATGCAGACAACTACCAAATCTTAACGGGTTCCAAGGTATAGGACGTTCAGATTTAGTATAATAGGGTGTCCCTTTTATTCACCCTAGAATAGTGATTTCGGTTAATATGACTGAATTTGTAGAGTCTCATTTATGTCGGTATCCTGAACAAATGTCTCAAAGGGCAGAAGCCCCCAAAATTCAACACGTCCCAAGATATAGGTCGTTTTCCTTTTAGCTTCATTTTCACATGCGGAAGCACTGCAAAGTCGCAGGGAGCAATATCTGGACTGTAAGGAGGGTACTCAATAAGTTTCAGTCCAGTAATGGTCAAATACTCGGTGCAGGCTATAGCGCGGTGAGCTGTAGCTTTGTCATGGTGGAAGTACCAAGTGTCCATTCTTGGCTTTGGCCGCAGGTTTTTTATACACTCGATGACTTCAGGCAAGCACTGTTACTTGTACCACTTAGCTGTGACTGTCTTCTGTGTGTCCAAAACGACCTGCTCCACAATCCCGCTCGATTTGGAAAATACAGCTATCATTTTTTTTAACATATCGGGGTTTTCTGACGGCTACGGGTGTGTCCCCATCAAAGACCTAAACTTTGTTTTGAGCCTTGGTCGGCACATCGTAATAATGAAGCCAAGCCTCGGCGCCTGTTACGATGCTGTTCACATACCCTACCCCTTATCAAACATTTTCAGCATCTTTTGCCACCAAGTCGTACGACGAGCCTTTTGCTCTTCCGTCAGACTATGCGGTACCCAGCGAGAACAATGTTTCCTTACGTGTAATTGGTCATGCAGAATTCAATGAATTGCTGGTGCATGAACGTGTAAGGTCTCCTCTGTCTATTGGTATGTTACTCTCCGGTCTTCGGCAAGCATTTTCCTCACAGCAGAAATGTTTTCCTCTGTTACTGATGTCCGCGGCCTCCAGAATGAAACTGCCCCTTTAGAATTATCTGTACCACCTGAATATAGTCGTACGATCAGGACAATCATTCTTTAATGCTATCTCACTACGTGACCACGATGCCATAGTCCGATTTACACTGTCTATACAAATGAACAACAGGCGTGATGCTGGCGGCTACTATGCACTCATGGACATGTCTCAACATGCAGAACCATGCAGTCTCCTGCGTCCGTTTGTTAAGTCATATTGCAAATCTTTTATAGTACCCTTTGTAAACGCCTAACGATATTATATACTATAGTGATATTTGTATAAACGATATTTGACGAAAAACCAAACATAAATGAAACAACATGTTCGTAACAACAGAGATTCTAAGGTGATGATTTACAAACCTGGTGGTTGATCTCTGAACTGCGGGCACCTCTCAATAGGCAGCGCTTGGTCGGTGTAAACAAAGGCTTCACAAATAGACAGCTGACTGGCCTGAGCTGCTTCCAGGTGAACGCTAACAAACGCCCCTGGCATCGGGGGGTTGCAGGGCAGAAACAAGGGTTGGCCCTCCTCCAAAAAGCCAGTGAAACGGTTGCAGATAGGGTTGGTGCCTAGATCCGGCCTGTTGTTGCCTACTCGGACTACTATGGTAGCAGGCTTGTTCACTCCTTAAACAACAAAAAGGTAAAGTTTACTAGATTTCTTATTAGATTGCAGGGGTTCTGTGAAAACTATCTATTAGAGAAATCTCAATGTTATAACTTTTGAAGCTCTTAGTTACAAGTAAACATGGTTTTAATCATCTATAGCTGTGGTTTCAGCTGATAATAGTATTCGCATCAATTATGTCGAAAATGGAGCCAACAAAACTAGAGATAAAACAGCTCAGAAAATCGTATTGGAACATTAACATGCGCTACTGTGACAAAGAATACAAACATTGAAAGAATCACAAAAGTGCTAAATTTCGTATTTCTATTGAGTTATATCTAGCAATCATCCGACTTCATAGATCTCAAACGATTTATTCTAGATCTACGTAAGCGTAAACATTAGATGACTTTACAAAAAGCTTGGGGGGGGGGGTAAATCCGGAGATCGAGCAGGTCATAAGTCGACAACTCTTCGGAATTGTAACTAAAAAAACGATGATTTTTCATTTGAATTTCTTCAGCATTATACGACGAGGAAATTTGAGCCTTACAGTTTAGTTGAAGATATCTAGTTTCTTTGAACAGCTCTTGTAGATCATGAAGCTCTATATTTCTTTTTTGCTTATTTTGAAAATATAAGTACCCATCTCTTTGATTGTTTGCCCAATATTTAGGAAACATCTTGTATATAGTTTTTTTTAAAAAAGAACGGTGACGCTGTCAAATGAGAACTAGGATACAGTTTGAATAGACAGTTTGCTACTTTCCCTCTCACAGTGGTCGATTCTGGTAATAAATCGCACTTTGTGCTGTCTTGTATTGATAGACCTTACCCTCTGGATAGAGGATAGTCGCTCAGCTATTTTTCGATGACGTACCTGAGGACAAACCTAGACAATGCTGATCAATTGCCAAATAAAACGAAACAGGTGACTATGTTTTTGCCGTCTAGGGAAGATACACGTTATTCCGGTTAATACATTTATAAAAAATGCTTATGTGAGCTAACTTTAAATTCACATCACACCTGCTATCTGTCATCACCAAAGTAATAACTGACATCGAATATATGTTATTTTCCTTTAGGCTGGGTTTTAGGTTGAGGTACCTAGTCATAAGCTTTATGACATGGAAGTGTGCATGGCAATTGGCCAAAATTCGCCATTTGTAACTATGCTGTAAGTATTTGTTACAATAAGGTCGATTCAATTGAATTGAGTGTTATAAATGTCAGATAACAGAAAGCTTTCATACATTTTTACTCGTAATTTCCAAGGATTCAAGAGTTGTTAGAAATAATGATACCGTAATCTGTTTTAAAAGCTTGTGCTCTGGTCAAGACAAAAATAGTGACACATTTGCCAGCTGGTTTTCTGATATCAAACATAGCTGCTATAATGTTGAACATGTCTTCAAATGTTTTGTTGAAACAGGGATGACGCTACAAATGCTGCTTCATAGTTTCTTTTCGACTATCCTTTAACTCTTATTTATTAATTGAAGTAATTGTTGGACAAAATAGAAACATAGCAGTGGCTTTTCAACGTTTTAGTCAGATGTCTATGTACTTGTGGTATTATTATTTATCTCAAAACGTTATTCACTTTTTCACTTATTCCTCCATTTACCAATGCCACTGCACTTTACGTACTGATTAACACATCGAAATCAGTGGCATTCATAAAATAGAAAATATTAATACGGTACGCTTATTTAATTTTCAATGTTATTTTGTTGTAATCTTACTTACAGAGATTTAAAATCACGCTATCTATCAGCAGATCTCATACAAGCATATAAAAGTTCCATTCAAAATGAAAACGAAGCATTTAGCAACTTCCTTGACAATGTAATAACAATAACCATATTATTATAAATTAGTTCTAATGTGTGGTGATTACTAAACAAACACTGAATACAGGATGATCCAACCAATTGAGCAATCGTAGATTAATATTGTGAAAATAATAATACTGAGACAAATTTGAGTATGCGGTTCTAAAATGTCTTTGATGAACTGCAGGATCCCGGAGATCAATTTACGAATACCTATAGCGAATAGCTATAGTTCAAGCTATGCTTGTGATGAGTTTGTTGTCCAAAATTTCGTCACACTGGCACAGCTTGTTCATAACAGTATGATGAGGGTAAAATATGATGTGGGTAAGAAATTAATTAAGGCGGCTCCGACGCAGTGAGTTTCAAGCCATTTACAAGGGTTCAGCTGCTTCAAAACTGACACTCCATTTTTCAATATTTTTGAATAAAATTCATACAGTATGTTGAAAAGATAATTGCCCAGGGTGCTATAGGAGCACTTTTTGAAATTTTGTTTTTGCACAAGTTTTATGATAGGTTGAAGTGCGCACTTTTTCTGTTCAACTTTGCGATTTTTTTAAAAAGTACCTAGAGAAAAAATTGAAAAAGTGGCTCTATAGCACCCTGTGGGGTTTTGTGTTCAGCACTCTGTGAAAATTTCATCCAATAATATCAAAAAATAAAGCGTAAATTTCGAAGCGCGCAAACCTCTACAAATCGTATTTTGGACGAATTTTGACTACTGTTTCGTGCTGCCAACCAAAGCGTTGCGGCGCAATGTACGGACTAAGGACGTATTCTGATAATTTGGTGGCCCTATTTCATATAATATCGCATAGATAGGTCGTTCTGCAAATAGGTACTCATAATCGCGATCGCTGATACTGATTTTGAAGCCATTTTACTTCCCACGCCAGTAGCGAGGAAGTATTGTAATCGCGAAAAATTTCTAAAACGAGATGTTATGTTTAACTATATCACTCATCATCAACTTGGAAATTCCCGCTCGGATTTTTATGAAATTTCCACACGGGGTTACTAGTTTGCCAAAGCTTTGTAGTTTTAGTCCAATGGCAAGGGTGCTATAGGCAAAAAAGAAAAAGTAACAATTGCTGAAACTCCGTTTTTGACGTAAAAGGGGTTCCTTATCATTGACATAAAAAAAATGTACCGCATAAAAAGTAAAATTCAAGAACTCAAATTACAGTTCGTTTATTCATGTCAGTAAACACAATTATGTTTACAAGGGTCATGTGGTACATGGTAACAATTGAATGAGAGTCATAAAAATATCTTATGCCGTCAAAATAAGAGGAAACAGTTAGGTAGTTTTTGCAAAGCAATAACCAGGTAGTCTTATACCTGGATTAAGTACATTTCTTGTCTACTGTAATAGGTAGATGGAGGCGATGCTGCTAGAAATGGATGTGTGCAATCAATAATCGAACCACAAGACTGAACTGCGGTGTCCAATGTATTTAGACCACATATACAGGCCGCTGGGTATTGTGGCTCACTACAGCTGCAGCACATCTTCCATGGTATGACCTCTTCTTGCAATAATTTATTCGCTTACCCCAATGGATTTTGCGATTATAGAGTTGAACTGCTCCACACTATTGTTGACCTGATCATGAATTAAACTCACTGCATTTGTAATTAAAATGGTCGCATATGACCCTTTATTGTACATTATCAGCCTTGATAAAAAAAGGCACTCAAGAACAATCACACCAACAACAATTCAACAACACAATATCGACGAACAGTAACAAGGGGAGAAAAATACTAAATGATCACTTGCTGAGTACCAAAATAAGAAACGATTTACATTTCAGATCGCTAATCGAAATCCGACTCTGTTATTATAAAAATTTACCTTGGTATGCACCCGCAGTCATCCTTTACTTTTTTAAAGTAACGCCGACGACCGTGTAGGCCCAGCCCACCCTCGTTTCCTTTTCACCCCCCGTTACCTCAGCAGATGGTGCTCGTGATTGTAGGAGCCCCGTTAAGTTAGGGATATTCCACAACGCACGTATACCTGAGGCATTGTCCAATACTTATGACTACGTTCACTTCTTCTCCACAAAATATTCCACTCTGAATAAACTATTTTTGAGCCAGCCATTTGACTTTGCGATACAATACCGAAATGAAAATATTTAGGAAAGGGTAACATCTAACTTAAAAATGATTTCAGTAAATTTCAGTAAAAATAATGGAAAGGTACTAGAGAGTTATGGCTTGAAACATACAGTAAATACTCTTAGAGTACAATTAAATTGGACTTTGAGGACTAGAGGCTAGCGTCATGTTCGGTGCATGACTTTAATACAGAGCGAAATGAACGCGGTGAATTTAGCAACTTATCGCGCCGTGCCCGCTTATATGTTGACACATTTGTCGACTTTCGATTCGTCAGCTATTTTCTCCCATAACTTTTCTAGAGCCCCACATTTTTCTGCACAGGGTCACTGAGCTTCCGCAGTGACATTCTTTTGTAAACAACCGGCGATCTGTTTCTCGGCATGTATCAGTATTTATTCGATGCCACATATTGCAGGCCGCTTCCACTGAAAAAACTTTGTAGATAGCGAAGTAAATGTGCACGCAACTTGTTCAAATGGAAACATACAATTATTAATCACCCTGTAAATATTATAGATGAGTCACGTGTCGTTATTACTAAACATACATTGTATATGAATGAATGCAAGAAAACGGCAGTTAGTTTTGTTCGTCTTTTGTAGGAAGCTATTACACGGAATATTAAGTCAGAATTAAAGAGAAACTTTTTGCAGTTTCGCGTGTAAGTCTGCGACAATTAAAGTGCAATAACTTTGCCCGCGTTGCATGTTCTGATAAGAAAGAATGATGGTATAATAACTGACACGAGATATTACAAGTGTCAACAGACCAGATATTCACCTAAGGCATTATGTCATTACGTTATACGGACATAAAGTGCACTATAAACCATGCATTTTGTTCTTCATTTATATACATTTTTAGGTCGTATAGAAGATTACTTCATTACGTTGTTCAGAAATAAATGTCGTGGCTGTTTTTTTTTTTTTTGATGATCAGAACTAAGAGGAAGTAGTACGGTAACCTATTTCCTAAAAGTTTTCTCACAAAATTCATTGGCTTTAAATAATAAAGCGAAATTTGCAGATAAAATTCTTGTCTGGTGAGCAATTTCTAACAGCAATGTATCCCAACCTTTTCTGGGAAGAGTGAGCGATGAAGCTTTGAATAGTCAGAGCTATATTGATAACTGTCTTTCCAAATTGCTTCAGTTTGTCCACGAACATCCTGCTAATGACCACATCATGTTTAGGCCAGACCTAGCATCATGCTATTACTTCACATACCTTTTGTTCCCAAAAACGATAATCCTCCAAACTTTCCGCAGGCTCGTCCAATAGAATATTTTTGGGCTTTACCGTCTAGGAAGGCTTGTCATGGAGGCCACGAAGCCCAAGGTGAAGAAGTATTGAGTTGTAATTAATGATAACTAGTTAGTATTTAAATAAATTTCTCCATTAAAAAAAAATCCGGTAAATACTTTGTAACAAAACTTTTAGGACATACGTTACTTTAGATCTAAAATTATGCCAGCACTGATTTTCGGCATGCGTTACAGAAAAACACGATAATCGGACAGTGAATACCCATTTTTCCAGGATAGTATCATTAATATTATATTGTCATTTTAACATTTTTGCTCGGTCATTGACAACATCGACCAAGAAGGGCTAAGCAATATTCTGAGCAGAAAAAAACTAAAAAAGAACAGGGCAAAACCAATACTACCTAAATCTGGTGTTGACAACAAAGTCGTTGCTGCTTTAAACCTCTGTAAAGCGATTGTTATATTCCTCAACCTTTGAAAATTGTCTATTTTCATCGCGTCAAGTTTCAACAATGATTTTTTTGAAGAATGCCTAAGTCGGTCATTGATCTGCTAGTAAAACATTATTGTTTGATTTCCCGTTTCTATCTGTAACACATACATAGTGAGTATGGAATGTAGCACGGAAAAGAAGAGGGGATTGCGTCGATTGAAAGGGTGCTTCAACATTATTAACTACAAAACGTAAATTTTAAAATCAATTGTGGTACATACATACATGATGTGTATTACTACTTAAAAGTTTGCATCAACTTACCACAGCAAGGCTTGCCGAAGTCTAGCCGCACTAACTGCACCATGTAGGGTTCCAGAAGGTTGACGTACCACCATGGAGCCCTCTCCTGCTTGGTCAAAGTGCAGGTTTCGCTGCTGAAGAAAGCACTAGTGCTGCCGTCCACAGCTTTTTGGGGTATCCCTCCAGACTCCGTACTAACCTGCATGGGAGCCTTACCAGCAGCTACATTGAGAACTGAAAAGAAAAAACTAGTTACAATTTTTTTCAATAAGTAAATCAATTTTATCGATAACGATTTTTTATTTTCTCAGCACATAACGCTTTAGGTGCTTGAAGCATGAAGGATTCAAAAAGATTTTCCTGACTTCAGTCGCACATGAGTATAAGGGAATGCTTTCTATCACAAAATAATGTCTGATTGAGTAAATTAACTTTAGACCTTATAATATATACTAAGTGACATATAAATCCGAACACCCAGTTTAAATGGTTTTATTTTAATAAAATTTTGTATAAGTACTTAATGAAGCATAATAAGTAAATGGTCAAAACTTCAAAATGATTGCACGGCTTTAAAGCCCTTTGACCTTTAATAATGTGTGGATGCACCCTGATGTGCTACGCATTCTCCAACGCGCCTAGGCATGCTTCTGATCAGGTGGTCAATGTCCTCCTGTGGTATCTCATTCCAGGCAACCACCAACTCCTCTCCAAGTGCTTCTAGAGTCTGAGGAGGACGTTGCAAATTGAGCAATCTCCTACCCGTCATATCCCACACGTGCTCAATTGGGGATAAGTCGGGAGATCTTGGTGGCCATGGTAACAATGTGACATCATTATGTTGAAAGAAGTCTATTGTGACTCTTGCAACATGTGGTCGGGCATTATCTTGTTGGAAAGTTGGATCTGCCAGGGTGTCAAGATGGGGTAAAAGATGGGGTTCTAGAACTTCGTGGATATAACGGTGCGCGTTCATGTTACCTCTGATGAAGATTAAAGGTGACCTGGAGCCATAAGCTATAGCACCCCAAACCATAACTCCAACAGTGTGATTAACATGTCTCTCAACAAAAAACTGTGGATTCCTCCTTTCACCACGTCGCGTTCTAACCCTGGCACGACCATCGTGCATGCCTAAACAAAATCGAGACTCGTCACTAAAGACAATACTGTTCCATTTCTGATCCGAGAGTGACCGTTGTCTGCACCACTCAAGGCGATTACGTCGGTGTTCTCGAGTTAAAGGGAGGACCCAGTGTGGCAGGTATGAAAACAAGCCAAAACTTCTCATTCGACGGTTAACACTCCGCATGCCAATAGGTCTACCGTGTTCTGCAAACCATTCATTTGCAATGGATCTGGTAGTGGAGAAGCGGTCGCTTAAGGCCAATAATCTTAGGCGGCGATCTTCACGGTCTGTTGTTCTACGGCGGCGTCCAGTGCCCCTTGCTCTTTGCGTACGGCCTTCTCGAAGCCATGCCTGACAACACCTAACCACAGTGTCTACACTTCTTTGCACTCTAACTGCAATTGCCCGAAAAGAAAGTACAGCTTCCCGAAGTCCCACTATACGGCCCCTATCAAACTCACTAAGTTGACGAAATCGTACAGGTCTCCGTACTCTAGACATCGTAACCGGTCGTAAAGGATGTCAAGAATCAAAATCTGCCAACGTTGATTCTTTACTGCGGCTGAAATATTCATTTTTAGAGCGTTAGTGAATTAAAAAAAGCTGTATAAAAACCGGAATGTCCAACTGATAAGGCTGAAAATTTGTTCACTTGTTATTTACAGTAAGATAAATACATTCACCAACTTTTATTAAAATAAAACCATTTAAACTGGGTGTTCGGATTTATATGTCACTTAGTATACATAGGAGAAATGTATACCGGCTGTTTCAAATTCTACTCTCACAATTAGGATCTCGGATACGATAAGAGGTACGAACGCAGGCAAAACCCAAAAGGTAGTGAGAAAGTACAACTCCGAGTATTTATCAAAAACTAAATTAAATCAAAAAACAAATTTTCCCAAAATCATTTTTATTTCTCGACTTGAGACTTCCAAACAAAAAGTACATTACATAGCTTGAGTTTCAGTATGACGTTTCGTCTCTTGCCTTCAACCTACAACTTTATTTTTGACATTGTCAAACCATAGTTATGTCAAAAAACAGAATTTCCTTAGTATGTCTTGAAATTATCCGATAGTCATTTTTCCCATAATATCATCAGCCAAGTTTTAGCTTTTATAAATTATACATAGGTGAACAGTTCCCATTTGCGGTCTTATTGATATGATATTCTGCATTTCATGACATGCATTGATACCACAAAAACTCAAATGTCCAAAAGAGCAATCTTCCTATAACTCATTGAATTAAAAACAACCTAATGGTAAAGCTTAGTTGGTTAACGCTCTTACAAAAAACATTACAAACAGTATTATTTTATGTAAATGACTGGGAGATATTGGAGTAAGTAGAAGCCTTGACGATGTAGCAGCTTCCTACACACATTTTATATCTGCCATATCTAAACAGATGCACACATCTTGCATTTCAAATAATATTAATTTACGGCTGAGGCGTCATGTAAAGCTCTTCCGTCGTAAAACGACGCTTTTTATATACGATATATGGGCAAACTACCTGAGTGTCATTTAAGCAGGCGTGTCAAAAACTGAAGCATTGGTGGTTTAATCCGATAAATATGTGATAAACTGTGCAAAAATCCAATAAGGCAAAATAAAGTTGTTGATGGAGCACAAGAGACGAAACGTCATATTGAAATTCTAATCAAGTCATTCTGTAGAGAAGAAAAAATGGCAATGTTAATGCGCCGTTTATTTTGAAATCCGAACTTAAATCAGGTCAGGTAATAATAAAAACGATTTTGAGAAAATTTCTTTACTTTGGTCCATCTCCAGAAATACTAGGAGATTTGAAGCTTTCTAAGTCCGATTTTCTTAATTACTTAAGTGCACAACTTTGTCCCCATTTTACCGACTTCTCTTACTATTTCCGAGATCCTAATGGTGCTGTATCAGCAGTAAGGTACGGCCTCATTTGTTTGTCTAGAGGATCTTCTTGTGGATAGAAACAATCAATATTGCTGTTGGGATTGGTAACATGGCTGATGATTCCATCCTTGGTTGCGGAAATGAAGAATATTCCTTAACATGCTCCACTGCGATGCAAGGCTCTAGGATGCTAAAGACCAATGATACTGGGATCTATTATTTTAAATCACCATGATGTTAAGTAGGTGATACTCAACGCGATACTCATATGTATATAAGGGTCCAGCGGATGGCCTGTGCAACAGACCTTCTCAGTCAACGCTATTTTTCTCCCATTGTTTCGCGAGTTTTCATGGTCTCGCACTCAAAACGAATAGAATGTTTATCATAATTCATATCTAGCGCTACATATTTTCCTCATTCTATTACCCTAGCACTTCCTGGCTCATTCTATGTATTCCAATGCATCGCGAATCACGTCCTATGCAGGAATGCATCGCAAAATTTATAGAAATTGCTACGTAGGAATGCAGAAAACAGCTTGAATCCATTTGAGAATGAAGAAATAAATGTCTCACAGTGAAGTACACTTCACGGCCCGTATACTGTTATGTTTTGTGGAAAGCGCAACGCACTCAGGAATGTTTTCCGGCATTAGGTGAAAACTGCACTAATGTCTTTATCATGTCGATAATTATTGGGGACATTATTAGCCTCAATATTTAGTTATATAAAGTTATATAAAAAAAATGGGCAAATAAATATGAAAAAACCACAGAAGGCATCGCCTGTGTGTGGTTTATATCTTAATAACTAACAATCAATCATATATGTGTATAACAATTATTGTTAAATCTAAAAGGTATTAATGTAATTGGAATTTTGTAGTTTTAGTTTTCTATATAATTATGTATAGTCATTCGCTGCACATTACTAACCCAGTCTTTCAATTTTCTTCTAAATTTTTTTCCAAAATTAAGTATCTTTATTTCGTTTGGTACTACATTATATAATTTAGCTGCTAAGAATTTAAATGATTTTTTGAATAATGTTTTGTGTGGTCTTTGGATATTAGATGAGCCTATTCGAAATCGTGTGTTATGCTCATGTTTATAGGATTTTTTCTTTTTATTACAATACTTATGGTATAAGGTGGTGGCATGTAAGAAATAAAGTTGTCTTGTATCAAGTATCCCTGTTTCTTGATATAAGTTGTTCGTTGGATATAATCTTGGCTTATGGAAAATGGCTTTCAAAACAGTTTTTTGTGCTATATTCAGGTCAGAAATATATGTCTTGCAGGCGGCACCCCAGGCTGTGATGCCGTATATTATATGGGTTTCAACTAAGGCATGGTATAGGATTCGCAGATAACTTTCTGTAAGAATGTTAGCAAGCATTTTGAGTTTATAGGCAACATTTCTAATTTTTTTGATAACATATTTAATATGGTTATCCCACCTTAGATGTGAGTCTATAAATATTCCAAGATATTTCAAAGTGTTAACTCTATCGATTTTGGTCTTTTGGCCATGATAATTAACGGAAATTTGTTCGAAGGTAGGTAAAAATTTTGAATAGGATGTAAATGTAATAAATTTTGTTTTTTTGAAGTTAACTGTTAAAATTTTAGTATCAAACCAGTCAATGATCCTTATAAAATCCTTTTCAGCTATTTGCTTCAGTGTGCTCCAGTCATCAGCTTTATATAATACGAGGGTGTCATCTGCAAAACATATAATCTTTCCAGAACTGTTAATTTTGAATAAGTCATTTAAGTAGAGACTAAATAATAGTGGGCCTAGTACTGTTCCTTGAGGCACACCACACTTGATGTACATTTTTTTACTGTAAGTGTTAGTGATTTTGACAGTCTGTGCCCGACTTGAAAGGTAATTTTTTAAAAGGATTTGTGACGCTCCCCTAAATCCCAATCTTTCCATAACTTTCAGAAGCTCGACATGGTTAACCGTATCAAAGGCATTTTTTAGATCAACAAAGATACCAATAGTAGGTATCTTTTTGTTGACATTAGAGTTAATTTCATCCATTGCAAACAAAATTGCATCTGTAGTAGATTTTCCTTTTCTAAATCCATATTGGTCAGAACATATAATTTTGTTTTTGTCCAAAAATTGTAATATCCTTTTTTGTAGTAATTTTTCGAAAATTTTGGCTATATTCGATAGTACTGATATGGGTCTATAATTTGATGTTC